TAGACTAGACTAGACTAGACTAGACTAGACTAGACTAGACTAGACTAGAAAAGAACAGGACAGGACAGGACAGGACAGGACAGGACAGGACAGGACAGAACAGAACAGAACAGAATAGAACAGAATAGAACAGAACAACAAGAGTTGGAAGGGACCCTGGAGGTGTTCCAGTTCAACCCCCTGCTTAGGCAGGAAACCCTATACCATTTCAGATAAATTGTTGTCCAATCTCTTAAAAACTTCCAGTATTGGAGCATTCACAACTTCTGGAGGCAGTATATAAAGCTGACTTATTTGATCAAGGTGTAGCCAGATATGTTGTTGTCTCTGGTAACCCTTAAATGGCTGATTGGGGCTGAAATGACAATATATTAAGGGATTTGTTTATAGATAAGAGATGGGATATTTGCTGTATTTTAAAAGAAGGTGATAAGCACTCTGTCTTAAGTTTCAGTCTCACTGGCACTCATGGTTTTTCAGGAAATTATCAGTTTTACTTCAAGGCTGAAAAGCTATCAATGAAGCAAAGGAATGTAAACAAGCCAAAGACTTATCTGCAAAGTTTGTTTTGACATAGGAGCACTCAGAAGAAGAGTTCAGTCCAAGTTTTAAAAAGCTAGGTCCAGATTATCAGGTAGTCCAAAGGTCAGAGTTTAAAGAGAAGACTCCACATATTATTGTCATACATAGCCATACAGTCAGAAGTTATCTCCAACAAAGAAAGCCTGATTCAGGACTGGTTCTTAAATAAGGCCAGCTGTCAATAGCAGTTTACTTCTTTGTTTGGACAGCAGCGTAATTAACTTCACTGTGCTGCTCTCTTCTCATCTAGTACATGGATTGGAAGGCATTACATCATCCCCATCTGATTTTTCTGGATGCTTGGCTGGTCCCTATGTTTGATCAGTCTCATGTCATTCCTGGCTCTGTTCTTCCAGGCTGAACTGAAGCAACTTCTTCAGGATCAGATTTAGGATCAGAATCTGAGTCTTGAGCCTGGGCCATGCTATTAAGTTACTAAAATAGTTTATACTTTTGAAAAAGAAGAAAGCTGTTTCTTTATATCTTTTCTTTTTATTTACTATATTCTTATTTTTTCTGTTTTCTTTTCTGCACCTTTTATGGTGAGATCAAGATTTAATCTTTGTGATTCTTTGTCCCATCTGCACAGTGCAGTGTCATTGAGACATCCTGTTTCTAGGACACATGAAGGGTTTCCATCTGTCACAGGAACAGAGTATCTGGTTTCAGGTGGTTGGCTTCTGAACTTATCAGAATTAGTACTTATCCCACTTCTATGGTTGGAATTTTCCTTTCTCCATTCCTTTATAACTGGAAAGGCTTAGCAGTTCTCATCTTCCTTTCTCCTAATTCAGCAGCCTTGACAGGGTCAATGACTCTTCCTTTGCTTCTGTTTGTATTTCTGCTGATCCTGAATAGTTCTTTCTATCTACCAACTCACCTATGGAACCTAAAGGAGGAAGGGAATTGGGAAAGAAAGAATATCCATTTCCTCTAGAGCAGGAGTGTCAAACTCGTGATGACACATTGTCATCACGTGACGTATCATGACTTTTCCCCCCTTCGCTAAATAGGGTGGGCGTGGCCAATGTGTGATGCATCCAGCCCACAGGCACCAAGTTTGACAGCCCCACTCTAGAGAGAATATAGCAGGCAGGAAAATCATCCAACATCATCATTTCCTGTTCAGATACTTTCTAGTCCAAACCCAAACATGTTTTCCAAAAGATAACTGGGCTTTCTTAGTTTTTTTTTCCTTGAAAATGTTTCACTTCTCATCCAAGAAACTTTTTCAGAACTGAACATTTTCAAGGAAAAAAACCAAGAAAGTCCAGTTGTCTTTTGGAAAAGCACCTTTGGGATAACCATGACCTGGATGATTGAGAATCTCCATAGACATATTCCCAGTCCAGAACTCTTCCACTATAGACTATGTTGGAGTGTCGTAACAACAGGAAATGTTTTTCATGTCCAATAACCAACAGCTCAAAGTGTAACAATCCCATTCGCTCTAGTTTAAGAAGAATACTCATCTGTTCCAGTGGATCAAAGATATATAAGTAAAAAATGTTCACTTCTGTTAGAGGTGTCTTAAATAATGTCCAGTTTCATGTACATGTGGAAATTTAATTTTCTATTTGTAGTTATCCAATCATAAAACCATCCACAAGCTCCTTAAGTTCAACTTCCTTCTGCTCCAAGTTCAAAGAATTGGTAAGTGGTGAGACACCAATGCAAGGCTTAAACCTGCATGTTTATTATAAGTGGAATGCTGCTAGCTGGGCAGTTCTGGGACTTGAAGTCCACACATCTTAATTTTGCTGAAGTTGAGAAACACTGAGCAAAACCAACACATACTAATCTTGTTACTGCTACCTATGAATTTGGTCAGTGAGGAATGATCTATGTTTTCAAATTAAGGAACAAAATATTCTATCTTGCATGAACAAGTATTAGTCTGTTTGTTTTTTGAGTAAAAATATTAATTAAATTAAAGTTAAAATGAAGGAAAAAAATTCATATGTTTCATCATGCATGACCCTTTGTAAAATGTTTACAGGTTATTTTGTTTTGTGTGGTAGGAGATGAAGCATCTAGAGGGAAAGCTAAACAGAGGTTTCAAAGAGTATCAAAGGTCATAAAGTGAGATGAGGAGGGATTATACATTCAAAACTTGCCATGTCCAGATCTGCATTGATAGTTTTGACCCTCATGAGTGGTTCTGCCAGCTTGGTGAATAAGGCATCTTTGCATGACTACAAAAAATGTCTTCAGACAATGCTGGCTCCCTCAGCCAAGAAACAGAGATGGGCACCATGTCCTAGAATCAGGCACAACTGGACCTTGTGCGTACAATTATAGATTATGAAATTCTTGTAACTCCAAAAACCATCACAATCAGAATATAATAGCAGAACCAGTCTGAGTGCAAAAGTTTAAAAAACATATGAAAAGACATTAGATACACAGCTGGAACACAGGACTGGTCTCAAGCAAAACTAAACCCTTGAATATGAAGTCCAGAAAAATAATGACAAAATATTGTGCCTTCATCCCTGTAAGCAATGTTGACAGATTCTACTTACTAAGAAAAATAGGTGGGCATGGAATATTGCAAGTACATCATATGACTGAAGAAGAAAAAAAGGACAGTGAAGAAGCTAGTATAACAAGAAGGCTTACTGAGTACAAAACTGTCATACAAGGAAGATCAAATAAAGAACAAAAATGAGGCATAGCAAGATGTGGCCAGTACATTAAGAAAAATAACAGAACTTGACAATGGCTAAGAGCAGAAAAGTTGAAGGAAGACACAGATGGGCTAATTCTGGCTACGCAACACCAAGCTTTAAGAAGAAGCTTTAAGATTATGTTTAGAAGCGGCTCAGACAGATGGCTCCCTAATTCGCCATGGGCAAATAGGCGGCAATATAAATCCAATAAATAAATAAATAAATAAATGGGGGGGAGGAGCAGACTTGATAAATATTTGTTATAACCAATCTCAATAAAGTAGTGTTAGGCATACTTAAAGTTGATTTCATGGCCTGATCTACCTAGACCTGTGGATTCTAGATGCAAAGCCCTTACCATTGCTTTGTCGATTTGAACTTTTCACAATCTTTTGCAAGTCTTCTGGGGTCCTTATAATTTCCCTGAATTTCATGTATTTTGAGATATCTGTAACTGAAGCATCTAGAGCATTCATATACCTGGGATTGGAATAAGAAACAATAGGAAAATTAATATTTGGCAGTTGCATGAAGTTTAGCAAAATATTTGGTATGAAGAAGATGATAGTGTTGTGGCATTAAATTCACCCAAATTTCAAGCTGTACATGTCTCTAAAAAGATGGCACTTCATGTGCATCAACATTTTTAGTATTAAAACCATTATATCTCTATTGCAAAATCTGTAATAACTATAGGCTTCCATCATATTAAGCTTACTTTTGAAAATGGGATTGCTTCTCTTTCTCATATCATCATATACAGCTTCCTGGACCATAATTGAGCCTGGAAATGAAATGAATATTTGTGTTTCTATGGTCATTGGTACTCAGGGATTGGGATGTAAGTAGCTCTGGGGAGTTTGTCGTAACTTTGAATGGTCATTAAGCAACAGGATGTTAAATGAGGATTATCTCTATTGTTCTAAATATTCATGTCATATGTCAATGCTTTTGTGTGTAGCATTTTTAACTCTGTATCACATAATAAAGTACATAATGTATAGCTTTATAGAATTGTAAGCTATGACAACCCTTGCAATTCACTTCTGTATCAATGGAGCTTCCTTCTTGTCATGGTGCCTGTGTGTGTGTGTGTGCGTGTGTGTGTGTATACAGTATACATCTCTATCTGTATATCCATCCATCCATCCATCCATCCATCCATCCATCCATCTATCTATCTATATGCCACCTATCTTGTTATCCAAGCCCATGCAAAATATCTTTTTAGTCAGAAGTCTCCTTCCATTTACTGGACAACTTCTGTCCAGTTTCACAGTTTCCCTTTCTAGGGAAGGTAGTAGAGAAAGTGGTTGTGTTACAGCTCCAGAGGGTTCTGGATCAAACAGATTATCTAGACTTCTTTCATCAGGTTACAGGATAGAAACATGTTGTACTTGTCAATGATCTCTTGTGAGAGCAGATGGAGTAGTGCATCCATCCTTGATTTCCTTGACCTCTTAGTTGCTTTCAGTACCATCAACCATGGTATCCTTTTAGACCAGTTGTGGGGTTTGGGACTGGGTAGTGCAGTGTTGCACTTGTTTGATTCCTTTCTCAATGGCCAGTTCCATTCTGTTTTGATAGGGGGCAAGAAGTCCAGGCCACAGCCACTTCCTTGTGGAATGCCACAAGGCTCAATACTTTCTCCACTCCTTTTTAATATCTACCATTGGGTGAGATTATGGAATGGAATGAGAAATCAGTAATATGCTGATACTCAGATTTACATTTCCATCTCTGGTGAGCCAAGTGATGCCGTGTCTGCCCTTTCACAGTGCCTGTAGGCTGTAAGAGTCTGGTTGGGGGACAACAGGCCTCAACTATACCTTGGTAAGATAGAGTGGTTATGGATATGTGGAACCTTGAGATCTAGAGGTTTATCATCATTAATTCTGAATGGGATGGCACCACTCCAGTAAATGCTGCCTATGCAAAGAAACTGAAGAAACAGTGGATCACCTGGTAATTGCTGCAAGAAGATCGCACAGACTGACTGCAAGCAGTGGCATGACAACGTAGCAACAATGATACATTGGAAGATCTGCAAGAAATATAATTTGCCTGCAAGCAAGAACTGCTGGGACCATAAAATTGAGAAAGTCATAGAAAGTGAAGAAGTTAAATTGCTCTGGGACTTTAGAATTCAAACAGACAGGAACCTGCCACATAACAGTTTGGACTTAACAATTGTCAATAAGAAAGACAAAAAAAGTCTGGATGGAGGATGTGGCAATGCCTAGAAAAGCAGACTAGAAGAGGAAGAACTAGAGAAGATAACAAAATGTGAAAATCTACAAATAGAAATAGACCAACTGTGCCAAAGGTAAGCAAGGGTAGTACCAATAGTAATAGGCACCTTGGGTGAAATCCCAAAACTGGAGCACCATTTGAACACCCTTGGCATTGACAAATTCACCATCACTCAATTGCAAAAGGCAGTTTACTTAGAACAACTTCCATTCTGCGACAATATCTGTAACATCATCCAGATCTGTCTATCCCAGGTCCTTCGTAAGGACTCAATAGGTAGACAAAAATGCCAAACCCAGTCTGAATATCTGGCTGACTGTGCAAATAACAACAACAACAATAACAATAATAATTCAAAATGATAACTTGAAAGTTTCCTACCAGTAGCAGTCTTCATTGATGTCATTCTTCCTATAGACATAAACTGTTTCCCACACATCAGTTTTGAATGGCAAATTGGCATTTTTCCAGAAATCAATCAAGAAGTAGCTCACTTTCCTAGTTGGTGTTAACATTCTTGTTAAGTTTTCTTTGAAGTCACAAGCCAGACCAAAACTCCCAACAGAAATCAGAGGGAGGGCCAATACAGGTTCTAATCTAGAAAATAAATAATACACAAATTATCTTACCATTGCCGCTATTGCTGTCAGTATTTCGTAATTGAACTAATGAGAAACACACTTGTAATATTCTTCAGTTTGACTTCAGCTTAAAATCAATATAAAACCAAAATAAAATAAGCTGTTTCTTTTAGAAAAATGATTTAATAAATTACACAAGTAGTTGTAGTCCAATGTTTCAAATGTTACATTGTGGATTGCTTCTGTTGACTCTTTCAATCAGTTATCAGCTATCAGTGCCATTCGTAAGATGGATATTGGGCATGGAGAATCTGTCAATGTACCTGCAATTCTAAGGTTACCAGGTTGGGGCCTCAGAAATATGGATAACTCCTAAAGAGCAGCAAAGAAATAGATAATCTATAAAATGAGAAAGGATCTGAAAGTAAAACCTTGAGCCATGGTGGCACAGTGGTTAGAATGCAGTATTGCAGGCTAATTAGGTTGACTGCTGATTGCCAGCAGTTTGAATCTCACCAGCTCAAGGTTGACTCAGTCTTCCACCCTTCAGAGGTTGGCAAAATGAGGATCCAGATTGTTGGGGGCAATATGCCGACTCTGTAAACCACTTATAGAGGATTGTAAAGCACTGTGAAGTGATATATAAGCCTAAGTGCTATAGCTGTAATATTTTATACATTAATCTCTTAAATGTTTAAATATGTAATAAATTCATTCAATATTTTAACCTTATTCAAATACAGATAGTCCTTCACTTATGACCATAATTGGGACTGGAAATTTATTATTAAGTGGTGTAGTCATTAAGTAAGACATCATGTGATCATGATTGTTAAGCAAATCAACGTGGTTGTTAAGCAAGACATCACATGATAGTTGTTTGCAATCTTCCCTGGTGGCTTCCCCACTAACTTTGGTTCTTGGAAGCCAGCTAGGAAGGCCACAAATGATGGTGCAATCATTGTATAAACATGTTGGTTGTCAAGCACTGAATTGTGATCATGTGTCCATAAGGATTCTGAGATGGTCATTAGAGCAAGGACCAGTCATAAGTCACTTTTATCACAAGCATCATAAATTTGCATAATCGCCAAATGAACGGTTTAAGTTGAGGATTATCTGTATTGGTTGATACTTACGTGACCATTTGATATGTGGCAAATGAACACACAGGACCCAGGACAACACACCCAAGTTTTTTATAGGTCTATAATATAAAAGATCAAAATAAAGATAATATTAGAATATGCCTTTATACAACTTCATCAAGTGTTCTAGTTATAAGCATTACTGGACAAGAGGGCCTACTTTCTCTCATGTTTTAATTACCTCTTAATCGGGTTACTATTACGGTATATGCTTTAAATGGAGCATTTAAAATAGTTATGAGTGTTCCTTATTTTGCCAAGTAGTTCCTCTACTTCAAGAGGCTTCCAGGAGCAATTCAAGGTGCTGATTGTCACCTTTCAAGCTCAACATGTCTTGTATTGCATATTTTCAAGATTTCTTGCTCCCAATGGTTTCTGTCTATCAGAAGACAGGAAGGGAATCACTGTTTTGGAATCCTTATTCTAAGGAAGTTCATTTTATGGGCCATTAAAGCAGGTCTTCAGCTGTGGTCTCCCTTCTCTTAAACAGCATGCCCCACCACAGGATTAAAGTAGCTCCAGTCCTATTGAGCTCAGGAAGGTCATTAAGCACTAGAGTAAGATGAGTTGAAATCTGAAGAGGATGAAGCTGCACTGGAGGAAAATGGTTATGGCACCAGCTTTTGTTTTTATTGTTTTAATTGAACTTTAATTTTGTACTGCAGTTCTGAGCCACCCAGAATTGTATCTTTTAAGATGGGCAGCTACATATAACTGCATTTACCATTGAATTATGTAATAATCAATGCATAATTAGCATGTTGCAAATCATTATAAGATGCCATGGAATAGTGATAATGTTTAGCTTTATGATCTGTACTTAGGTTAAGTAACATATTTGAAAGATGGAACATCAAGTTCCATTCAAAACAAACAAAAAAGGCAGAAAGGTATGTTGAGGAATATTTCATTCTATGCAGTATATGGAGAATAGGCAAACAAAGTATAATCCTTTGATGCCAGCATATGGAATGAATGCAAAGTTAACTGGGCTAGCTAGATTTTGAATCAAATAGGTATACAAAGATGTGTGTTTGAGCAACCTGACAAGTAACTTCCCTCTCTACACACATATACTTCTCCTGCCATCTCATCCAAGACTGGCAACTGATTCTAAGGCTGTTCCCAAACAGATCTTATTTCTCACCGAACTGAACTATTCAATCAGAATGCTGGATGCTGCCATTAGTCTCCTGGATTTAAGGCTTCTAATACAGAGAACTGTTTTAGTCTAGTGATTAAGACACTAGGCTAGAAATCAGGAGACATGAGTTCTAATATGCCATAGGCATGAAAACTAGCTGGGTGACTCTCTCAACCCATGATGTTGGGTGACAAGCTGGTTGGTCAATTTCTGTCACAAAAACACATCAACATTTGATTGATTTGAAAAAGTAGCACCTTGGGAAGAAGAAAAAAAATATGTCTAATTCTTGTTCTGACTCTGCTGGGGTGGAAGGTAGAGGGTTTTTTTCAGGATGTCTCCAGAGGGCTTGTCAGACTTTAATCCCTTCTCCCTTGTCAGAGCTCAATATCATACCCTGTAGCAATATTTGTATATATTTAAATTTTAATTAAACTTAATATCAGATAGTAGGACTATGCATGTTTTGAAAATTATTTGGGAAAAGTGATTTGAACTTTGCAAAGTATATCTAGAAGATTTTTCAAGGTTCTACATTAATTTCCAGAAATGATTTGAGACAAGGTTGTAAAAAACAAGGAATCCATTGGTAGCTCCTCTATTTTAATCCTCCTCCAAAAAGGAAGCAGAACATTAACTATCAGTGACAGTATATTCAACAATCTGCATTCTTTGCATTAGATTTTCGATATTTTATTGAAAATGAAGAAATCCTTTGCTCCCTCTTTGACAATTGCTTATTGGATTTAGCATTTTATAATTTGGTATATAACCCCCAAATAATTTTCAGAGTCATGCGTTTTGTTTCTTCAGGTTTAAAAAGTTACTACTGTTTCCAAAATATAATAATAATAACATGGACATTTGAGAACTAGATGGATTGGAATCTAATTTGTGGCTAGCAGGTTTGAAGGAGAAGGACTCTGGTCTGAAAACTGCATGCTGTTTTGAGAAGGCTGAAAGGACATTGATTGTAAAGACTCAGAGTTGACAGAACTGTAGTGTAATGAACTGGATTTTTTAAAGGATATTGATGAAGATTGGGAAATGGACTTACTACATCTAATTGGAAAGCAAATGTTAAGAGACGTTGTGTTTCAACCTATAGTAGTTTTCGAACAACAAATGCTATGGAGATACCCACAACAGACATTTATGATTTTAGGGAATGAAATCCAATTATTGGGAAAGATCCTGGTTAAATTTTTAAGGTGAAGCCTTATTATTAAGAATCAATTGAGGAGGACTTCCGGTTTGAGCTTCTTCAGCAACAGACCGAAACCTCATCTCTGCAAGGCTTCGATCCGTGCTCACCGCTGGAGCACCCCGAGCCGGCTGGTTTTGGGGCTAAGCCACCCCATAGAGGTGGTGAAGAGGGGGGAGAGTGCCAGCAGGGTTGAGGAGAGCCGCATCTCTCCTCCCCAGCTGGCCATTACTCCCTTTCCCGAAGGCGGTTGCAGTGGTGGTCAGAAATGGCCACCACAAAGAAGAACTCGACCAGAAAAGAATGTGCAGGAGGAAGATAAGAAGAGAAAGTTTTGGTTGTCCGGGTCAAAAGCAACAAATAAGGTACCCTGGAACTGAAACTGTTAAAAAACAATAACATTGTTCCCTAAGAAGATTTTTAAGCTGCGAAGGAGAGACAAAAGGGAAAAGATTTGGTTTTCTCCTTTTCCTATACTGACAGCTAAGAGACTTAAGCAAGAAATTGGAAAAAAAATCCTCTTTGACATCAATAGGCATTTAATGCTGAAAATAAAAAGTCAAAGGGATAATAAAGATTTCTGGATAATTAAAAGCTTTTGAAAACAGGAAAAGAGAGAAAAAGAATAAAAGGGCAGGTTCTGGAAGGGAGGAGACTGCCTGGAATTAAAAAAGAACTTACAACAAAATCTCAACAAGACTTCCAAAAGATACATTCTAACTGAAATATCGCAACAAAAACCCCAGGAAGAGAAAGTAAAAAAAGAAATAAGAAGATATAACTCGTGACTATCTGGATTACTTGATGATTTCTGGATTCTTGGTTATTGTTTTGAATGACTAAAATCAATTGGGTGGTTGTTTAAAACTTTTTAAAATGGCTCCACTTTTAGAAGAACTGAAAATGGAACTTAAAAAGTATAAAGAAGATGCACAAAAAGGGAGAGGTTCTTTTGGCTTTGTATTTCAGTTTTTAGAAATGGAGATTTGGAATTATGAGAAAAAACAAGAAATGTCTGCAGAACAAGAAGATTGTGACAAAGAAGAAGCCATCTTTAATGAACAAGTAATCTTAGATGGGGGGAAAAAAGGAAAGGGGAGAAAGAGAATGGAAAGTTTAAGATTGGGAAAAACAACTCCCCCCCAAAATAGAGTGAAAAATAACTATAAAATTAGAAAGCAACAAAAGAGGGAAATGCAGAAGAGAGAATTAGAACTAGAGAGACAAGGGGGTAAAAAGGGGAGGGAGAAGATGAGAGGGAAGAAAGAAAGGAAAAGAAGTCATAAAGGACAGAAGCAAAATATAGAGAAACAGGGTCTATTTAGAGATAATGGGTGAAAACTTAATGGAAAAAGGGATTCTGCAAAGGTACATAAGATAATTTTAGAAAATATGAAACAATGTATGATTAAAATGTCTGATAAAATAATAAACTAAATATATTGATAAAATAAAACCACTGATCATAATTCAGTGGAATGCTTGTCAATAAATAAATGTAACAAAAGGTATATTTAATGATTTATAAAACATATGTGAAGAGAAATAAGGGAAAAATTAATTATGGAGATTATATGTGTTTTTAAGGAAGTATGATACTTAATTGAAAAGAAGTGTTAAAGATGTCATGGTTTTAATGATTATTAATGATAGAACTGAACTGGAATGGAATGAGGGTTTATAATTACATATATTTACAATCTTTCTTTTTTTTTTTTTAAGAATATAGTGTGTATTATATATTGAAGGTCATAAACTTAAGGTATATATTGAAGTTTAAATAAGAGTTGAATGGATGTAATTAAAAGATATAAAGGTGTCATACTCCAATTAGTAATTACAGGAGAAAATTTGTTTAATGAGAAAAGATAATATGAAATTGAAACAGAACAGACAAAAGTATAAATATAATGATTTGAATTGAGATGCGATAATCAAAATAAAATTGAGAAAATTAAAAGAGGGGAAAAACTATATAGAAAATGTAAAATAGTATAAGATATGGAATAGAATACAAAAAGGAGCATGAAATTGAGTGTTGTGTCTGTATAAAGAAGTTTAACCCGGGACCATGCTATTTTCAAAAAAGATGCTTTACTTGCATTTTGTGTGTGAAAACCCAAATAAAAGTTTATTTAAAAAAAAAGAATCAATTGTGGATACTTGATCTTGAACGGTTCAGAGGAAGTGATTGTGGTGGCTTATGGTGGATTAGAATCCGTTGTAGACTTTCTATGAGTTAAATGCAATAATAGACTGTTAACAGAGGGCCTTGAAATTTAACTCTGCTGTTGGCTTTATCTGTTAATTATGTTTTTTATATATAGTAGATAGATGTCAGGTCAAATGGGTTAGGTAAACAAAGTTGTAGAAATTCATAAATGGTGTGCCTGTTTTGCAATGGTGGAGACTATTATTCTTGGCATATATTTATCAGCATTCAACTAGGGGGACAATTTATGTGTACTTTTTTTTTCTTTTTATGCACATTTATGTTCTTCTCTTTTTATTTTGTCTAGTTTGCTTTGATTTTGTACTTTCTTTTTTCCCTTTTTCAGAATTTGTATTTTAATGTTCTGAATAAAAAATAAATAAAAATATTGAAAATAAAGAGAAAAATATATATACAAACTAGCGGCTTTACAGCAAAGAGAAAATAAAGCTAATCAAACATAATATGAGAAAGAAGCATAATAGTCACTATAAAGCATGTCAAAGCTAGAAATGTAGCTATAAAAGTTCATATACTCACATTGAGTTGTCTAACAAATGCCACACCTTCACAAGTGCTACTGCGGCACCCTTGTGAGGAATAGACAGATGTGTTGAACACATCATATGTAGCATTTACTTTGACAGTCATGTTGTTTTCTGTAACAAAAATGCAAACAAAACACTGAATTGTAAAATAAAATTTAAATGATAAAAAAATCTAATGAACTTTAAAATAATTTAATAAAATATTATGTAACAATTATTTTAATACAGATTTATAGTTATTTTTATTGTATTGGGTGCCCTCACTATATATACATACATTGTAGATCTTCTATATTTGAAATAAATGGAATAGAATATGGGAATTTTAACTGAACTCTATCGGTATGCTATGGAAATGATTATTATTATACTTTCTGTCTCAGTCTTTTGGTAAGTAGCAGGATTTGCTTCACTTGCAGAACGGTGTTCAACTGAACACCTGAATATAATTTAAAGCCTGAATGTTGTTAGTCTTATTTTAAAACAATAGATGAATAGTATTTAAGACAAATGCTTATGTCTAAAGAATTATTTGCAAATTTTTCAACCAAAGTTCCCAAAACTGCTCTTATCCTAATATTTGGAATTAAATTCCCATCATAAATAGTATTCTTCCATATTATTAACATGCTATCATAAGCGCTATGTAACAAGCAGTCTTGATATTGAGAGATGTTTCATTTTAATATAGTAGTTGTAAGATCAGTTGCAACTGATATCCCATAAAAGAAAAATTGTTAGATCCTCCATGAAACAACAGCATGAATTACATTCTCAGTGAGATAAATTTGAGAAAAGAAATTAGCAGGTATGCCTTTACATTTGTCATACTGTGCTGTAATGTGGAAGCTGTTCTTGTATCATTACCAAATATTTTACTATATTAAATATTTTACATTACCAAACATATTAGATTAAATAAATTGTATTTTGATGTTATGCTTCAGAAAGTTTATTTTTAAAATAAATATTATTTTGAAAAATACTATGAATTATGATTTATTAAAACCAACCCTGAACCCACATAAAAGCTGTTAGGACAGCATTGGTTTAAACTATATTGATCAATTATAGCTAAAGGTTTCCCAAGTACTGAAAACTATAGAACAATGCAATTAACATCCTTACCTTTCAGAAATTTATTCACTAGTCCAAGCCCCAGTTCTATAGTTGGTTTTAAATTCTCTGATGTCACTGGATAGTCAGAGTCATTTAGCATCATTACATTGATCACATATTCATCTTCCCCACAACTGGTTTCACAAGTGTGCCACAGCAGCTGACTTAAGATAAATGATGTTCCCACAAACTGATACATCATTCTTGCCTTATTATACTTTGTAGTGGCACTTGGCGTATTTTAAGCAGGAATATCTGCCTTATGTCCACTCTGTTCAACTTTCCTTTTTTAAAATGGGTCCTTCTGTTCTTTTCGGTGCTTCTTTTTCACTCCACGCCCATCTGCCTTACCTGTCACCTCTGTTTGTGAACAATTAACAGGAGCAGAACTCATGAAGATGGGAAGAGACCAAAGGTTATTTTTCCTGTTTGCTGTAGAGAACATGTAAGCTATAAACTGAGGCATTAGCCACACCTCAACAGATAAGCATTCAATATGATTCACAAGAAAAAAGAGAAGGAGCCAATAACAATGTTTTTAAAAACAAACAAACCTGACATAGATTTAAAAGCCCATTAATGTACAGCACAATGGCTGCTGATCTTGCCATTCTAAGTCATAATGCCTCTTAAATGAAGAATACTGAATAAAAACTGTAGTTTGCATCCTTTGTCAAAATATTCTTGCTTTTTATTTTCTTCCACCCTTTTTCTCTTTCATCCAGTGACATTTTCAAAGAACCAAAGTATGTATACAGTTTCCCTTGGCTTATGCTAATTTGTTTTGCACAAAAGAAAAAAAGGGAGGAAAAGGGTTAATATGTGATTTGTTTCAACTTAGTCAATTTGCACCAAAGGTCTGGAAATATGCCAAAACATTTTCCCCATCAAACCCATCTCTGTTCTTATTCATGCATTTACCACAGTGTTATGAAGTTGCTCTAGTTGTACATTCTGTTTCCCACTAATTATACTTCTTTGCCTGCAATAGCCATTACTGTTTACTATGGGGTTAAAATGGCAAATGTCCCCTTGTCCAAAGAAGGCCCTTGAAAAAGTAGTATTGGAAACATCTTTGTTATACTGCAGTGTGCCAAAGCTGAATGATCCACAGCCCTAGGGAAAGCTCTTAACTATAAGGACACTGTAAATTCATTTGGATTACAAAATTTTATACCATATTCCACAACTCTATTCCCTCCCCCCCACTATCTTTTTTTGTGCAAATTCACTTTATACAAGGTTTTGGGGAAATATAATCATACCACAAAATAAGGGAAGACTGTATATGATTACATCTTATTCTATCTATCTATCGATCTATTGATCTATCGATCTATCTATCTACCAACATATATTGTACTGGATTATTTGCATTTGTGATTATGGTATTCCTCAGATCAATTGTATAAAACAAACATCCCGAAATCCAAAATCTATATAGAAGTAACCCAACCTATTGCATTATTATAAGCAATTAGACAGTAAGATCTAAAGGTATTTCCACCCTAGTGAATTTCCATTCCTTAATTTCTCAGTAACCATTTTAAACTGGCCTTTCATGCAAGAAAGAAATGTAATAAATGTTATTGCTCTCAAATCTAAGTATCTATTTGTCTGGTCATTTGCAAAATAGAGATACAGACCCTTATTAAGAAGAAACTGCCAAGTTACCCTGTTACCATTCCTATGTATCTAAGTAATGAAAATAAAAGGATAATAGGCCAGCAGTAAGGTACTCAAGGCTGTATGCCGCTATAAAAAAATAGAAACAGGGAGGGGAGGGGGAATATGTTTTAAATACCTTTTGTGGATGAATAACACTATGCTGAAGATTGCCTAGCTAAGAGAAAGAGACAGTTATCAAGTAACAAAAATTGCCTCTCTATATTCCACATGAAAGAAAAAAGATCAATCTAGCAATCCTCCAAACATAAAGCAGTCACTAAAAACCGAAGGCCCCAAGCAACCTGAGACTTTGCATACAAAGTTAGTCCCCTGACAAAAGGAAGCAGGCACTAGTAATATTCTTGTCAATTTCATTCCTGCTTCCTTGCTAGGGACAGCTAGGAACAGTTGCAAAGCTCTGCAAACAATGGAAACACTTCACATCAATCCTGCCTGCAACTTAATTGGGAATTGTTGAGGTATTCCCCGTTAGGAAAATGAGTGAACTCAGGGAAACATAATGAGAGTGGTGATGAATAACACACAATCAGCACACGGATACACTGAACAGTAAAATGTAAGTTTTACTTCCTGTAAATTGGTAAACAAAGTCCAACAAACAGTCCAAATCATACGTGGTTAAAGCAGTATTCAAAATAATCAGTCCAGGGATAATCCAAAAACGATAATCCAGGGATAATCCAAAATCCTTTTCTTTACCAGTATCATAAACAAAGTTCAGTAAATGGAGTTTGTGAATAGTTGCAAGACTCACAGCAATTCAAGCAGAATGATGATCAGGCAAAAGGCAAAAGGAAAGCAAAGGAAATGCAAAAAAGAACAAACCAGGTTTCTGGCTCCATCTTATGGCTGTTGGAGGAACCTCAGCCAATCACAATTACAACATTCTCTTAAAGATACAACAGTATTAAAGGACTATCCTGGTTTATATATTGCCAACCCAACTGTTAGGTGACTATCATTACTAACAGGAATCAACAAGAATCGTAACTTGGTATCCTTGGTATCCCAGGTTCTGTTAAAAAAAGATGGCTGATGCCAAAGTCTCCTGGCATTTAAAACCACAGAAAACAGCTGTCTTGTGATCTCCTTGTGAAACTCTGGTAGTTATCCAGAGAAAATGTCCTATCCTCTCCTTAGCTGGAGAAGTTCTAAAAAACTCTTCCAAGAAACTGTTCCCTTCACTGGTTCTTGGTCTTTGCCATGGTCATTGGCTCCACATTCAGAGAGTTGTCTTCAATTCATACCTCCTCTGGAAATCTATGGTCAACATTTTACTGATACTAATATAAAAGTAAAGAAAGCAACAATCATGTTAATTGATTTCACATATAATAATATTTTAGTCTTATTTTTAAAAGTGTCCTTCCTCCTAATACATATATATTAAGATTGATTGTACCATTAAATTTTGTTTTAAAATATAAACAAACTATGAGATGTCTCATAAAACAAGTATTATATTTCTTATCTTTCAGAGATTATTCCTGAGCAAAGAAACAGGAAGTTTAACAACAATTGTGTAACAACCCAAGGTTTCAGAATAGAGCAAATGAAAATGATTTTCCATGACCTAGCTCTTAAAAAATATTTACAACAGTCTACAGTTATCTCTACTTCACACAGTTTTTCCAAGCCAAATAGCAAGTTTTTAAAGGATGCAGTTTAGAAGTATCTGAACTATAACTAACCAGTACTTCTGTACTATTTTCTCCCAGTTGATATCAGGGTAGTTAAAGTCTCCGATTACTACTGTGATATGTTTCCTACATACATTCATTAATTGTTTAGCAAACCGCTCAACTATTTCTTCTCTTTGCTTGGGTGGTCTATAGTACAGATAATCCTCGACTTAGTTTAGTGACTATTCAAAGTTAAAATGGCACTGAAAAAGCAACTTACGACCATTTTTCACACTTACAACCAATTGTGGCATCCCTGTGGTCATCTGATGAAAATTTGGATGCTTGGCAACTGACTCATATTTGTGACGGTTGCAGTGATCTGGAGTCATGAGAACAGCTTTTGCAACCTTCTGACAAGCAAAATCAACGAGGATGCAAGATTCACTTAACAACTCATTTAACAATGTTTCATTTAACAACATAATTTTTGGGCTCAATTGTGGTCATATGTTGAGGACTATCTGTATACGCCATAGTAATGTCATTCTTTTTTCCTTTTATATTGACCCATATGGATTCTAGGAGGTTTTCATCCTTGGCTTGGTGGATTTCTGTAAAGATATAGAGATCTTTTATATATAATACACCTCCTCTTGATATCCTTCCATCAGTACAATCCAGTTATGAGTTTCAGTAATGAAAACTATATCATATTTGCCTTCATGTACTAAGTACTTCAAGTTCACCCTGTTTATTACCTAAACTTTGAGTGTTCATGTATAGGCATTTGAGTCCTTTATGAGTCTTGGGTATGTTTCTTATATCTCCTTCTTTGTAACTGGGTTTTCCTTCCTTTCCATCATTCTCTACTCCATTGTGTTTTTTCTTTTTCTTCTTCTTTCTCTTTACACCTTACCTCCTTATATGATTGGTTATGTTGTGGTTTTCGCTCGGAATTAGGAACTTTGCCTACCAGTGCGCTTTTATGTCTTTTTCCCAAACACCACCCATCCAGCAGTCCACCCACTCAGGAGTCCTCCCCCTATGCAAGTTACTTCGGCTTCCTCCTTTGGGGAGACCCAAAGGTTTGGGGGGCATCCCTATAGAGTTAGTGGACTAATGTTAGAAAGGCATTGGATAAAGCCGCTGAGCTATATAAAACTTATGCAGATAAGAAATGTGGTGTCCATAGGCCCTTCAGGGTAGGGGATAAATAATCCATGATTCGCTTCAACTACTCTCCCTTCAGCATTCCTCCAACAGTAAACAAAGCCAATTTCCTCAATTTTAGTTTAAAGCTTTTCTGATATGATGAGCCAGTTGTTTTCCAAAAATATTCTTTCCAGTTCTTGTGAGGTTCAGTCCAACCCTTGCCAGTAGACCTTCATGTAGGTAATGCAGACCAGAGGTGGTATTCAGCAGGTTCTGACCAGTTCTGGAGAACCGGTAGTGGAAATTTTAAGTAGTTCGGAGAACCAGCAAATACCACCTCTGACTGAAGATTTTACAGTAGCTGTCAGGACTCCAACAAATCCATCCCCATTCAAATCATAAGTCTCTAACTGCATCTCAGAGAAAAGAAAATTGATTTATTAGAAGTGGACATGTTGGTGTTGGCTGGATGCAGCCGATACTAAATTACATCATTCATTTCCCCCTTGACCCTGGTCTTCCCCCCACCCCCTGGATGTGTATTCTCCAATGGGACACATACATCCCCAAAAGTCATCAATCATACTCTCCAGTAATTTTCTTGCGCTCCAGATGAACATCTAGGCACTTAAGGAATGCAATGTTTCCCTCCCACTCCCTTTTTCTGGCAGCTAAAAAGACCAAAGGAGTATCTTTTGAGTTGACAGAATCCTTCCGCTGCCATGCCCACTAAGCCACACCCACAGAACCAGTAGTAAAAAAAATTGAATCCCACGACTGATACAGACCATGGTCTAGGAAACCAAAGTTCTCTTGACAACACCAGTTTTTAAGCCAGTGATTCATTTCTAAAATCCATCTCATTGGATATTGACCTTTTGTTGGAAGTATAGATGAAAACACCACTTGTGCTCCTAATTCTTTAACTTTCTTCTCTAGTTCTTCATGGGGGGGGTAGAGGTTTTTGCTCCCAAAGTTTACTAACAGTGGAGGATGGGAAAAGTGTATGCAGGTGGTGAATTGGTTTCATCTTCCATCTTTCCCTCACTTTGAATGGATATCACATTTATTACTCTGTAGAAACTCTGCATTGTCTTTTTATGCTTTACTTTTGTATTAGAAAATGTTACATATTAGAAATGTACAAAATAGACTTTCTAGTAAACAGCAGTACAGAGATTTTTTAAAAAGTTTTTTGATGATTGTTGGGGCATCATTTTACATAGTAAAACTAGCATAACAGTATATTCTAGTGGTGATTTGATGATTTTCCAGAAATATGACAGAAAATTATTTCGGTCCCTAGAATTGTCCACAAGCCATTTCCTGTCCAGGAAAATTTATTTCCAGAAAACAACCAGATAATCTCCAAAACGCCTTTCTGCTTCCCACTCCAAATTAGCTCTACACTGATTATCCTTAAGACTTTGCCTCAATGAGTCTCCATGGCAGTGGTGGGATTCAATTTTTTTTACTACCCATTCTTTGGCCGTGGCTTGGTGGGCGTGGCAGGGGAAGGATACTGTAAAATTTCCAAACTGGTATTTGCCAGTTCTCCAAACTACTCAAAATTTCCACCACCGGTTCTCCACCAGAACCTGCTGAATAGCACCTCTGCTGTGCTGTCATTAATACTGCTGAACTATGGCAGAAAAGACCCTGTGATTTTATAATGTGTTTTCATTTATATAGCTATCTATCTCACATAAGAGATTCTGGGCAGCTTAAAAGATTATAAAACCTATCAAATATAACCCATGGAACCCCAAAATAAATAGTCAACGCACTCATCAGCAATAGCAAAATAGCTTTTAATCTATCCACATGACCCAATTGCCTGGGTCAGACAGCCAGGTTCTCCAATGCCTATTGTCTGCCTATTTCCAATCTTTGTTAGTACACAGTAACCACATTCCAGAATCTGAATAACTTCTCCATAGCCTTCATTGCTACTCTACCAAGGGCTATGCTGCAACATATTCTTGATCATTTGTCTGTCAATGCTGTGTGAGTGTGTACGTGCATGTTCGCATGTGCCTTCAAGTCTGTTTTTTTTTTTTACTCCAGGTGACTGCCTGGACTTGTCCCTGCAGTTTTCTTGGCCAGGTTTTTCAGATATGGTTTGAAACTGCCTCTTTCTTACAACAGACAGTGACTGGCATAAAGTCACCCAGATGACTTCATTTCTAAGGCAGGACTAGAACTCATAGACTCTAGTTACTAGCCTTAACTGCTACACCCCAAAACTGCCTCTATTACTTTATAATTGATCCTAAAAAGTAAGAAATATTCACTGCTTCAGTATCTTCATTGTCAATTTTTAGCGATGGGTGCTATACCTGTCATTAATTTGCTGTTCTTTATATTTAAGCTTAGTCCCATATTTTTATTATGCTTCTTTACTTTCATAGTCAAAGCTTGCAGATCATTGCATTATAACTATCAGAGTATGTAGTGTTGTCAGCACAATGCAAGTAACTAATATTTCTTCTTTCAATTTTAAAATTACACCTACCTTCTAATCCAATATATATTCATCAATATATATTCCACATATAGTATATGTTGAATATTACCAATCTATTTCACCATGTTCTTCTTCATTTTGGTCAACAGTTGTATCTGGCTTCTTTTCATTTAGTGCACTGATACGCTGAAGTGCTTTACCAATGTTCCTTTTCAATAAACATAGTGTAATGGTCTTATATAATGTGGAAAATCCACTGTAAAATCTAATGGTCTAGCCATCTGGCAAAAATTGTCTCCTCCACAGCCCATATGAAAGAGAAAAATTAGTGGATTTTTTTCTTTTTTCACAGTTGGTGATACTTTGTAGCACAGTACAACAAAACTGAGAGAATCCATCATCTTTGTCATTAAATGTGCAATATACATTGTAGATTAGGATAACACATTTGCAATCTTGCTTGTGGCAGAATTGTGGTAACAAATTTAATACCAGTATAATTTTTGCCTGGCAAAGGGATGGTAGACAGCATTTTAACTTAGCAATAAAGAATATCTATAGATTTCCCTTTTCCTTTGCAATATCTCTGAGAGAAAAGAATCTGGGACCACAACATTTATTTATTAAAATAGTTATATTCTACCTTTTTCTTCAGTTCTAGGCAGCAATCATTGTGAAAACAGAAAACACAGGAAAAAACATTACTGCTCTTGATATTTCTAGTATCTTAAATGAAGAGACATTTTTCATTAATGGTTCCAAAATATTTTTTTGCATTTGTTGAAATGACAAATTCAACGTGGTATATAAATCAGGCATCATTCTTTAATAAGCACACATGAATAAATCATCACTGTCACTGTATGGTAACTCATTAAAGCATATAATTTAATTCAGACTGATCTAGAGAAAACACTTAATTGAAAACAATGAGATTTATTTCCAAGAAGTCATGTATAAAATTGTAATATGATTTCTGTCATAAACTTCCATAAATTGTTCATAAACTCATAAAATGTTATTCTATGTATGCAGTAGTGGTGCAATTAAATAATTTAAAATCTTTGGACCATAAGTATCTGAAAATGATACCAATATAATGATTTTTTTTAGTCCTACTTATTTGGAAATGTTAAATCACAGACTGTGTCAGATCACAACACATTAAGTCAGTTGCCTTCATGTCCTCCTCAGATACTTATTGTGTATTGTTTGGGAATTAGTATTATTTTGTTTTAATATAAAAATATAAACGTGACGCTTATAACTGTATACAAGTCTACCTAACTGTCTCCAAATAAATATGCGATTATACCATATTGTAGTAAGTAAAAACAATATTTGTTGAGTGAGGATATCTGAACCATTATCCGACCCATCGAGTCAGTTGTCGCAGCAACTACAGAAATGCCTATCGCAGTGGTTTTTCTTGCAAAAATGTGTTCCTGGACAAGGTACAGCTAGTCAGCACTTCGTGAAAACGTAGCTTTCCCGTCGAATTGGGACTCTCCTTTCTTCGCCCTCCTAAACCACGACAGGGTTCACGCCTCTTCACGTCACTTAAGCTCTTGGATTTCTGAGATTCTTCCCAAAACTATTTTGTCGGAGAGCCGCCGGAACTGTAAGTATGACTCGCGGTTGCCGCCCGGTCTTTTGTTGCTGTCTCCCAGGCCAGATTGCCTTACCCTAACTACCTCCGTTCCCGCGGTTGCCAAGGTAACAGAGACCTTGGTGAGACAGAACAAGCAACGGACGACCGTTGTTTTTTGTGAAGCAGGCCTGTGGGCAAGATGGTGAGGGACAAGGCGAATCGGATAAGGCTAGATTAAGGGGCTTTTCTAAAGAGACGAACGGGCGACAAAGACTAGCGGAGTCCTTATTATTCCCTTTACCTTGTTCTTACTTCTGTCGCTTTTGCAGATGCTCTCACGGCTGAAACCCGCTGTTGGAGGCGGTCCTCAGTCAGCGGATAAGCGCAGAAAGAAAGGCAAACAGCTGCCGCAGCTGGAAGATTTATTAACTCAGCGAGATTTCACTGGGGCCATTGCCCTTTTAGAGGTACTAGGGATACATTTGGGGAATATGGCGGGACGAGACTTCTGCGAGTGAAGTTGCTGCGGCTGCTTCTGGATTATTTGCTAACATTTGTGTAGACTTCTTTCGGAACAGATCAGTGCTTTTAGGGTTGAGGGCGCGAGGAAGGAAAGCTATCCATCCACCTTCTTGCTACTTTAGTCAATTCAGACTGAGAACACCCCTGCTTTTTGCTTCTCTTATATTCCAGGGTGCCAAATATCACCTCTGCAAAATAGAAGTAAATCTGGAGTCTAACCCAAAGGTAATTTTTCAAGAAGCAACTGGACTTTGAAGACGTTTCACTTCTCAGATGAGAAGCAAAAAGTCTTCAAAGAAAAACCAGAAAGTCCAGTTGCCTCTTGAAAAAGCACCTTTGGGACAACCATGACCTGGATGACTGAGAATTTCTATTGACATCTAGAATCTAACCACTTTATACAGTGGTGCTGGATAATCCACAGATTACAATTGATCCTCCTTGCTATAAATTAAATATAGCCATTATAGCTGATGAATAGACTGATGGTGAGGTATTACCAGTAATAAAAGAAACTACTGTAATCATAGTATCTAAATTACAAGATTATGAACAAGATAGTACTTTATAATGACTTTATCAATTTAGGAATTAGGATTTTATAGCAACCATCTTAATTTGCTGGAGAAGGTAGGATAAACTGCTTGTTCACTTTGTAATAAGCCAAAATTCCTAGGTTGTCATGTGTGAACATGGCCATAAGCTAATGCAGTAGTTCTACAAATCTATTCCTTTTGAGAGCAATGCAACAGAAGCAATATTATTGAACTGCAACATGAATGAGCATTATGCTTGTGCATATATGGATAGTTTAGTGTGGCTTCTGAATGTGAGAATATGATTATTGCATTTGAACAAATTAGGATTAAGTTTATTTAATTTATTAGTTCATAAATTCCTAGCTTGTTTTCTTCAGTTCTATAATACATTAAGATGTAAATACAAAACAGTCAAGTTTGCATCATGAACTGTGTGTGTCAACAATTCATTACAGTAGTTACATGCAGACACTACGCATAATCAAATTACAATGTTGTTGCCTTTTAAAAAACCTACATTTGCAATGAAAAAAGCAAAGTTGGAGTGAATGTATTGTAACCACACTTTGCACTTCACTCATGTTGTGGTTTAATGAGCTAATGAGTACTGTCTAACTGACAGTGAAAGATAGATTGATCATATGGAGACCCTATGACCTTAATATCATCTTAGAGACATTTGTGGTGTTGCTAGTCAATAATCACATATGCATGATCACCTGAATACATTTCTGCCTGCCAGTCATAAAAACTGCCTATCGAAATATTTGTAAACATCTAATTACTTAATTTAAATGCAAGCCCTTCTTTTATACATGAACTTCATATATACAGACTTTTGAGGGTGTCTAAATTAAAGCCCCATCACTGCCTAAATGGTGTATACTGTATGGCTGCAATCTATAAACTTATCATTTTAAAATAATTAAAAATTATATGAACTTGGTCACAGTTGGTTATCATTTTAATTTTTATTCTCCCTTCTTCCCAAGTTTAAGCGTCAGGTTGGAGAACAGGAGGAAGATGCAGATCTCTGGATTGGATATTGTGCTTTCCATCTGGGTGACTACAAGAGAGCACTGGAGGTGAGGTAGTGGTTCTTTGTCCTGAAAAGAAGGATGTTCTCTTAAATTTGTAAGAATGAGGATGAGTTGCAGGTAGTCCCCAACTTACGACTACAATCGAGTCCAAAATTTACATTGCTAAGTGGGGAATTTTGTTGACCCCCCCCTTTTACAACTTTCCTTGCCACATTTGTTAAGTGAATCAGTGCAGTTGTTAAATTAGTAATACGGTTGTAAAGTGAATCTGGTTTCCCCATTGGCTCTGCTTGTCAGAAAGTTGCAAAAGGTGAACACATGACCCTGGGACACTGCAACTGTCATAAATGTGAGTCAGTTGTCAAGCATCCAAATGTAAATCACGTGTCCATGGAGATGCTGCAATGATCATAAGTGTGAAATATGGTCATAAGTCACTATTTTCAGTGCTGTTGTAAGTTCGAACAGTTACTGTTGTAAGTGGAGGATTACCTGTAAATGTCCTTCAAAGTAATATAAAAGCAAAAATACTGGTTATAATATTTTGTGTCCAGAAGCCTAGTGAATAAATTATATATAGTTTATTATTTTGACTTATTTATGAAATAACATGCATTAATTTATGATGTGCTATTTTTCAAAATTCTATGTTATATGAAGAAACTTTCAAGAGAATCATTGTAAGAGAAAATGGAATTAATTTACACATAGTGATTGTATCACTATGACACTATGTAACATTGTTCCTCCAATTTACTATCTGTGAAGAATGAAATTTAAGATTTTAATGTATCTCATGGACCAGAATAAGTAAGATAAAATACCAGTATCTCAAAGGCTTGCATCTAGTTGAATGTATGTTTAAATATTGTAGGACAAAATGATAGTAGTACAAAGTTAGGGCTATGCAAAGCACTTAAATGTTTTGCAAAGCAGATTAATAAGAATGAAGTTTTTCTTATTAAACTGCAGAAGTAGTAGCATCTTCCAAGCAATACCATACAACTATTTTCAGGTTTTCCCAGGTTTCTTTTCCATGTGTATGCACATAAAACATTTCCATTGGTACTTCTAATAGAGCAAAACTGCTGTGTATGAATACACTTGTAGAAATTATTTTGGAAAGCACTAAAAGCTGCAATTAAAAGGATGCAGCTTTTTCAAAATTTTGATGATAGCTGAAATATATCTACATTGGACATGGTAGTCATTTCTGTTTATATTTTTTTACTTATTTACAGTTCTTATGTGCTCTGGCTGGGTTATAAGAAGAAATAAAGCATAAATTTATCTGTGGTGATAAAGCAAGGCTGTATCAAAAATTATTATTTATTTAAGGAGTATGAGGATTTAACCAAGGGATCTGCCTGCAACCCTGATGTGTGGGTGAATCTAGCATGCACTTACTTCTTCTTGGGAATGTATACACAAGCTGAACAGGCTGCTTTGAAAGGTGAGTCTGATAATTAAGGTTGCTTTTTTATATATATTTACTGGCAATAAATTCAGGTGCACTATTGGAAATGAGGGGGGGGGGCTTGGTTGCACTGTGAAAATGAGGCATATGAATTAATAATTTTGAAAACTTAGGTATTAATTTTGTTTTCAGCTCCCAAGAGTAGACTTCAGAATCGTATGTTGTTCCATTTAGCACACAAGGTATGTATTTCAAAATATTAAATCAGATTTGGAAGTAGTTGAAGTATTTTGAAATCGAGTTCCCATCATGTGTCCCTTAAAATCTTATAAATACCCATCATATTATTTGTTTTCAGAGCAAGCAGTGTAATGCAAGGTACTTGGAAAAAAAGGAAGCAAAAGATGTTAGAGATAAGAGGGAAGTGGGGAGGAGAAGGAAACCTAACTAAATCTAAAAGCCTGCAGAGATTCTCAGTCATCCAGGTCATAGTTGTCCCAAAGATGCTTTTTCAGGAGGCAACTGGACTTTCTTGTTTTTTCTTTTTGCTTCTCATCCAAGAAGCTTCTTCAGCTCTGACAGGATAATGTGGAATGGAAGGGTTTATATTCCTTGCAGACAGCTGGTAATCTGCATCCTTTTAGCAGGTCATTGAACCACTTGGAGGTTTATCTGTGTCCTCGGGGTCACCTGAGTAGTGCTTCTGGTTTCTGTAGTCTGTAGTTCTGTAGGAGCATGTCTTCAAAAGAAAAAACAAAGTCCAGTTGCCTCCTGAAAAAGCACTTTTGGAACTAACTAAATCTAGTTGACACCAATACTCTAGTTGACACCAATACTATATTTCTCTGTACCATGGAGATTCTGCTACAATTAATTTATTCACTTTTTCTCAGCTTAATATATACATACTCATAATGCTATTCTGAGCTGCATAAAAATACAGCAACGTTTACACCTTCATCTTGGTATTCAAATTCTGAAAGGCTTGTTTAAGTGAGAAAGAAGTTCTCTAGGTAGAATGATGAAATGAAAAACTGAAGTACTAAGTAAACACAGAAGACAAAAGCCTGAAAGTTTCATGGTGACAAGAATTAAGATAACTAAGAAATAAATGACTCTTGTAGACTGCCTGAACTCTGGAAAAATTATTGGTTTCTAATGAAAGATGTTAGAGGAGAAATATGGGTAAATATTATTTTCAGCGGACAAAGTATTAGAATATGTGTAAGGCATCCACTTGTCTCTGTCTTTAAATCATATTTCCTTCTTAGTTTGGTGATGAGAAGAAACTGATGAACTTCCATCAGAATTTGCAGGATATAACAGAAGACCAGCTTAGTTTAGCATCTATACACTATATGCGATCTCATTATCAAGAAGCTATTGATATCTACAAACGCATACTGCTTGATAACAGGTTGGTTCAACTTGTCTCTATCTATTTAACAGATAATTCGGAGGGAAAGGCTAAAATAAATAATTTCATAGGGCTTTTTGATCTTGCAGTGTTTTAGCTATCTTTTGCTGAGTTTAAATATTGCCTTCTGAGATCTTTCTTTAAAATGTTACTGTAAAATCTTTAAATTTTTGATCCAGTAGTGACTTCAGAGTTTAGCAAACATACAGGGAATGTGGACACTTAAGGAAAAATGCTCATGAAGGTGCAATTATAGATTCATATTAGATGTTTGTGATTAGGATTGAGGCTGTTATTTTTATGAATATTTTTTATATTTGAACCTTGTGCAAATTTTAAATGATTTAAAAATAATTTTTAAATAATTGGATAACTCTAGCAGGACATACTTCAACCTAGTGGGGTTTTTTCCTGTTTAAATTAGATTCTGATTAAAAAAGAGAAAGACGAGAATTAAAATCCAAGTTGTTTGTATGAAGAAACCAATGGAGGAGAGAACACTGTGTTCACTATCTTGAGTCTCTCAAGAGAGCCATTTGTTTATCAAATAATTGACAGATTTATTTTCATTTCCTTTCTCATGAATTTTTCACGGAAAACAGCTTTTTCACAACTGTTGCACATTATATCAATCTTCAGTGAGTTATCCACTATAATTCCAAATTATTTTTCTTGATCAGTTAGAAACAACATAATATAAATTTATACCACAGTGTCCATGTTTTTTTCTGATGTTTGTTTTTTTAAACAAATGTAAAATTATATGCCCAGGATACTGGACAACAATTTTAGTGTTCCATTAGCTGAGAGTTTCACACCTATACCATAGATATTTACTTTATCACAGTTTGTAGCAAGATAAAGGTATTAATACCTTGTGCCATTCTGATTCTCATTGAAGTAGTAATGAAGGGAGCTGGATATTCAGGGTATTTTTTAATACTTAGATATATATACTGGGCTTTTCTAAATTTTATATCACTGAAACTTAGTTGAGTTTCATAAAGCAGTAATTATATTAATATGATGATGAACTTTCATTTGGCAGGGAATATCTGGCTCTCAATGTATATGTGGCCTTGTGTTACTACAAGTTGGATTACTATGATGTCTCTCAAGAGGTGCTAGCTGTTTACCTTCAACAGGTTCCTGATAGTACCATTGCTCTTAATTTAAAGGCTTGTAATCATTTTCGACTCTACAATGGGAAAGCTGCTGAGGTATTTTGTTACTATAGTTTAATCTCTCAAATCATTTTTCAATCCAAGTTTAAATTTTGCTATAACATTTCAGTATCTATTTTTGAGAAATGCAAATTCTTTGCAGTTTGTGTATAGCTACTTCTATTAGTTCTGATACTATGCAGGACAAACATTTTAATCCTATAGTATTTTGTATAATATGTTCATTTAACCAAAATGTTTATTCCTTTGGTTACCATTGTTAATAATATGACCTATTGTTTGTTTTTTAAATTTCTTTACAAACTACAAGGCAGAGCTTAAAAGTTTGATGGACAGTGCCTCAACATCATTTGAATTTGCTAAAGAACTCATTAAGCATAATTTGGTAAGTAGCAATGGGGTAGCTCATTTAATGTTACTTATGCAGATCATGTACATCATCAAAGTACTGTTTGGTCAGTTTGTCCAGAAGAGCACTTTATTGATTGGGCATGAGCTATGAAAGTTGCACTTATATTTACGGAAGAGTTCTTGAAAAAGAAATCCCATTTATGAAGAGAAAATAATACATTTATTACACCCCCACATACATACCCCCACACACCAATGCTTATTATATATTTCTTCATGGGCCTTTGATTTTGCTTTTGCTTACCTTATCGTATTCATGCACCATCATTAACCTATTCCTGACTTTTTTCTTTTCCTATCATGTTCAAATATTTATCATTTCTTCAAAAACCTTATGTGTTTTTGAAGAAATAATATATTCTCACCAGCTTCATTTTGATGTAATTTTTCAGATGTGTCATTTTTCAGATGATGTTATCTGTGTAAACTTGGTATGTTTTCCTCTTATGATTCTACTTATGATGATATTTTTTCTTGAAATTAACTTTTTTCACAAGCCAAAATAATTTAAAGATATATTTGTTTATTCCATGCACAATTCTTCCTTGTATCTCTTTTATTAGCTTTTCATTCCCTCCCTTATATACTGTTGTCGTCTTATTCTACAGCTACTAGATATTTTACAGCTTATTACCCTATTAATAACTTTAACTTATCTAAATCAATCATCTTAAGATGTCAGATAATATTCTTAGTTCTGCTTTCTTATTCATGTTGCTATTTGAAACATTCTTCTCTCACAGATCATATACTTGGTCACTTCTTACCTCTTACCTTACCTAAAATCCATGCTTTCTGCAAGGTCTTGTGTGTGATCCTTTTTTCCTTCTTATCAACTGTATCAAAGTTTTGGAATGTATACATAGTGGCTGTGTCTGAAAGTGCTGTATATATTGATAGCATTAAATAATAAAGATGTCACTATGATTTATGGGGTAAATATTTAATCTCTAAACTACAAAAGCAATGGAGTAATAAGTGACATATTTTCATCGTTCATGATAAACTGTCTAGTACAATAAATATATTTAAAACATGCATGGGATTAAATTGTAACTTGTTTGCTACAATACTAATACAGTGAATACTTCTACTTACAGGTGGTATTCCGAGGAGGGGAAGGGTCTCTCCAAGTACTCCCTCCACTGGTTGATGTTATTCCTGAAGCTAGACTGAATCTAGTCATTTATTATCTTCGGCAAGGTGAAAAGAATCTATATATCTCATTTTACATTTTTTATGTCTAAATATATTTTACATATTTTATATTCTGTTCATGTTTTTAGCAATGTTTTTCTACCAAATACAAAATATATGTACTTTGTTTTGAGGATTATTGGGGGAATATAGTTGCTTACTGTTTTTTATTTATGGTGCTTCATGAGCTAACAAATTATGTCAAGCAGGATATCCCTGGAGGAACATATGGAATTCTTTAAGGTATTGCAGACAGATGTTTATGTTTGCCATCTGTACTTCAAACACATTTTTGCTTTCAGTTACAAAGTCCTGTATAGTCCTATTCTTTAATGTCCCTTTTAAAGGAACACGTGATTTTTTTGCTTATGGCAATCCATTCAATTTCTTCTAATTCTCTTCTAATTTAGCTGACCTATGTAGGAACAAAAACTCAAACATCACTAACTTCGGCTATAACAATAAAAGAAATATCTAGTCCCTCCTCCCACCGTGAGATTTATTTTGAATAGCATACTTCAAAACCATATGTTTTGATCTTGGGCTGATCTTAGTTATTGTTATTATTCTGCAATTGTCACATTGAGCCTGATGTGCTATTAAATAAAATCCCCTCCCAAATGCTTTTCTCTGATTGTTTTGATTTGTTACTGTAATAAAATGTCTCATTTAGTAATTAAATACATCCTTTAAGACTATTTTAAGACTTAAAGAACAACATTATGCAAATATTTACCATCTTTTTTGTCAATAGATGAATAAAGTGTGGGAGAGGTATAGTATTATATACTATAATATTGTATACTGTATTGTATTATTTCAGATGATGTACAGGAAGCTTACAATTTGATTAAAGATCTGGAACCTGCAACCCCTCAGGTTAAAAAAAAGTTTATTCATTGTTGCACACTAGAAGAAATTATATTTGAAATGTTATAGGATAGAATTAAATTCTTGTACAGTCTTTTGCATTGCTTTGGAGTGGGCAAGGCACATGATTGCTCACTGATAAGTGGATCCTCCTTTCAATTTCTTTTAGTTTTCTCTTGTGATAATATTGCATAGTAACAGGCCACCAATTGTATAAAGTTAGCACCCATCCTTCTCCTAGAAGAATGAAATACTTTGAGAAATATTAAAAAGGAAGAATATATTTCCCTGAATGGAAAATAGAGAAATATGTTTTCTTAGAGGGAGAAAGCAACCCCCGCTTTCCTTAATAGCCCACAGAAGATGTCAGTACTTAAGAGATAGATAGCTATATTCATGGGCAAAAATTCCCTGCAGCAAAATTCCCTGCAGCAACAAAGGCAGAATGGGATTAGCCCTCACTCAAGATGTTAATTTGTCTCTTTAGCTTGGCATTTTGTAGCCCAAATATGCCCACCCACTTTCTGGAGAGCTTAAATTACCGCTCTGCTAAAGGGTTTCACTTTATGAGTAAGAGTAACTTGGCTGTTGATAGTTATCCTTGTATTTTAACTATTTTAATTCCTCAGTGTGCTCTGGCATCCTGCCTGGTTTGTAACTCTGGGTTGCAGGTATTGCTGAGGAAAAGGAAAGTATTCAGACAGAATGGTTTAAGTTTCCATGATGACTGTGACTCATTGATCTCCAGTGTGGATTCCCCCATGTCTAATCTAATGACTGGTATTTAGGGCAGATTTTTGCAAGCAAAGAAGCTTTTTGTATTTTTGTATAGGTAATCCTTGACTTACAAGAGTTATTTTAGCGACCATTTAAAGTTACAATGGCACTGAACATTTTTCACAGCATCCCCATGATCATGAGAGGGTGGGTGAGGCAAAGTGCCCCTCAACATAAGTGACAGCCCACTCAGTCACATGACCACACAGCCATGCCTACCCAGCCAGTCATCAGGGCAGAGAACCAATTGTTAAAAATTTTGAAGCCCATCACTGTATAAGATATACAATATACGTGGTTTAAGTTTTGAAATTTTATAATGAAAAACTTTATTAAAACAATGGACTTAAATGTTCCATTTAAGTGACTTTTATAGGTTTTTATGGATATGTCCATTTTCTAATTATTTCACTTATTTTGAATTCATTATTGTTACTATTATTATTTAAAATAGTTTCTTTAGCTGATGTATACTTTAAGAACCTGGAAGATGCCAAGATAAATTTCTGGAAGCTTGGTGGTTCAACTTAAAATATATGTTTGTATAATGGAATACACCTACAATTTTAGCAGAAGAATGAAATGGATAACTGATCAGCCTTTTAATGGTTTGAGTGCCTTTTACATTTAACTTGGCTTACTAGATACAATTAGAATCCATAAAGATTTGTATTTGCACTATAATCTGAATAAAAGAATTGCAAATTGCTTTAAGCTTTGGGAAACAAATTGCACAATTTAATTATTTTTTTAAATATTTTTAGGAATATATTCTGAAGGGAGTAGTGAATGCAGTACTTGGGCAGGAAATGGGTTCAGTGAGTATAACAATTTCTGATAATAGTAATTTATGAAGAATCCATAAATGGCCAAATTGAACACGGAAGCTGATTGAAATTTTAACTTGAGCCTTTCTTACATAAATTTCTTATGTTATTTAATTATAACTCTTAGGCAAACTAGAGCTACCGAGAAACAAAAAGGTTCATCTCACCCAATGCTTGGGTTCATCTATTTTCAAAAAAATAAAGTTTTACACAGAAATTTAAAAAACAATTATAACTGAATATGCTCATTAAGATCAAAACATTTTGGAAAGAGACAATGGAAAACAAAATGAACACAATGAAGAATGGAACTAGGCATTCAGGAAATAGAAAGGGAAAAATATTCATCAGTACAATAAAAGCCCTATTTCTATACTGTTCTTTTTCAGAGAGATCATTTGAAAATTGCTCAGCAATTTTTTCAACTGGTGGGAGGATCTGCTAGTGAATGTGGTATGTTTTAAATGTACTGTGTTCTTTTTTCATCAGACATTAATTCTATTAAATTTATTATGTGATTCAATGAAACTTATCTTCTGCATGTTACTGTTTGTATTTGCCAGTGACAAAGGACATTGGAAGCTCATGGCTTCTCTGATCATCCCAGACAAATGATTCTCCAATCTTTACTTGATAAAACCTTCAGTGTGGGAGTAGCCATAATTCCATGAGGCAGTCTGTTCAACTGCTTAATAGCTCTTATTATCAAGAAATTCCTCCTTACTTCAGGTTGGGTCACCTGTCAGCCCTTTAAGGCAGACCAGACCAAGAAAGAAATGTCACATGGGTCTTAAAGCTATATTTATTTTTATTAGAACTGCTATAGCAGCAGTCCCTAATGTTTTGGATGCCAGGGACTGGTTCCATGTAAAGTGGTTTTTCTGTGGATCCTGGAAGGCATAGTTTCACACAGTGCTGCATCCCACACATACATGGATGGGGCTTCACTCATGTGGCCCACTTCCTGGTAGGCTGTGGCCCAGTGCCAGTGGTTGGGGACCCCTGAGCTATAGTGCCAGAATATTACGAGTCTGAATATGCTTACCTCCTCCCTCACTTTATCTTTGTATGGATTAAAGAGGACCCTCTCTGAGGCAGCTTCTTGTGTCTTGGAATGGGTTCAACAGGCACTTGTCTGATTGTTTCCTTGTAATGGATCTCCCCTCTATCCTTTAAGGTATCTCTATGCCTTCTACAGGTTCCATCAGTTGGTTCTTATTCTACTGTTGGAAGCTGTGGGGAATAAAGTGATACCTTCTTCCCTATGACAGCTCTCCAGTTATTTGAAGATTGCTGTTCTGTCTTTGCTTAGCCTTGTATTCTTTAAGTTAAACATGTCTGGTTAATCTAACCATTTTCATAGACTTTAGCCTCCAAGCCCCTCATCATCACTGTTGCTTTTCTAGTCATTCTTTCTAGTCCTGTAGCATACTTCTTCGATTATGGTGACTCAAAATTGACATAGTACTCCTGTTCTCCTCTTAATCAATGCAGTGCAAAATGGAACTATCACTTCCTGTGATCTTGACACTATTTCTCTTGATGCAGCCTAATATTATATTAACTATTTGGTACCTGCAGCAGACTGGCTCATGCTTAATCTATGGTCTACTGGGATGATTAGTTTCTTCCAAGTATTATTGCCAAGCCAGTCTGGTGTTTGTTACTTAAGTACAGAAACCTACATTTTTGCCATTGGACTGCATTATATTGGATAGGGCCTGATGTCCAAATCTATCAAGACCCTTTTGAATCTTGAGTCTCTTTTCAGGTGTTCACAATTTGTCCTTTCCCATCCCCACTCTCCAGTTTTGTATCATCTGCAAACTTGATGCACATTCTTTCTATCTCCTCATTAAGTAAGCCATATTTGACAAGTTTGAAAAGCACTTGAGTTATTCTACTGCATCTCTCTCTCCATGTAATAGAACCATTAATGGCCACACATTGAACATAGTTGATCAGCTGCAAATCCAACTACTGGCAATAGCGGAACCATTCATTCATTGATGAATTTGATGAACAAGGAAGAAATATATCCATAGCATTCACATGGTATATTATTCTAGTCACTTTGTCAAAAAAGCAATAAGATTTGTTTAGAATGATGTATTTTTAACAAAACCGTGCTGGCTTCTACCAATCACTTTACATCATAGTTGCTTGGTACCTTTCTGGACATTTTTTGGCACCTTCACTCATGCTAACATGAAACAGCAGAAGGAATAATGGTCAATAGATTTGATTAATCAAATCTACATCAGTGTCTACATCACATCCTGAATGTTGGAGACAACACACTTCTTTTTATACCTTGTCTGGTCTGTAGAGTACCACCTCAGTTCCTCTCAGTAATGAGTCACCTATCATCACATATGGCAATTCTTTGGAACAGCCATTGGATTCCTCACCTCAGTAGGAGCCAGAGCTTCTGCCCTTTCTGTCCTTGGAATGCTGGGTGAAACCATTATCCAGAAATCTGCTAGTTATCCTCCAGCAACAGACCTGAAATTGACTAGATAATTTCAGCTGTAGGTTCTTTAGGTCTTGTCAGTTTCATGCTGCCAGAACTCCTTTTCCAGGGCTCCTGCTTTCTTTACTGAATCCAGAAATACCTTGCTTTTCCTGATGAGCCTTAGTGTAGCCAGGCATGCCTTTAAACCATTTACTTTCTTGTACAACAATACAATGAGTTTGCAGTTGCAGTCTTCCTTGGTAGGACACAAGTGTGACACAAATCTTATTGGTCATCATGGTGTTGTATCCACGTGTATGACTTTCGGAAGGTGGTCCAGCTTCAAACAGCTGCTCCCTTTAGATACTTCCTTTGCCCTTGAGAAGAAGAAAAAACTCCTCCTCCTCCCATCTTATTCCTGCTGGAAAGTGAGTGGGATGAATCATTGTACTGTAATCTGGCTATTTATGATGGACTCTGTAGTTAGTAAAAGCAAGGTGAAGAACTTAGGTGCTTTATGCAGCCTATGCCTTCCCTAATCACCATGGAATCTGGCATTAAAAAAAATCTAATATTATGACAAACTTATTGATTGTTAAAGTGTTCAGAATGTTTTGCCTCTCTGAAAGCAAATTATAAGGGCTTATTAGTCATAACTTGAAATTCACGCAAGTAACTTCAAACTAATACATGAAGCAGATTCTAAGATTTTAACTTAGATAAGTATTTTACTTAGTTTTTGTTTGTTTTCTCTAGTATCTTTCTATAATGACTTAATCAATTTCAGATTGTTTCCTATCTGTCACCAAAGTAAAAAATATATATTGTGTCGCTTTCTGGCATCTTGGTAGTAGTTCTGAAAACAAATAAAGTAAGTGTACTCTCCAACATTTTTGCTATCCTCAACTCATTTGCACTCTTATTCTTCAGATACCATTCCTGGGAGACAGTGTATGGCTTCTTGCTTCTTTCTGCTCAGGCAGTTTGATGATGTCCTAATATATCTCAATTCAGTGAAGGTTAGTAAAAGTTACAATTGTCTTGTATACATTCATGTATGTCTGTTTTATTAGTATTTTAGAAAGTGGCTATGTACAAACATAATACTAGAGAAGAGAGGAAGACTATTTCATCAAGTGTCATAGAAAATCTGGTGATTTTTAATCTGGCTTTTAATCTGTGATATTTTCAGTGAAAATGTTGCTGTGGTACCAATGATTTAATTTTGGTCTTGTTAGAATCTATATTTGACTATGTGATTGATGCAATCTGGATATCATGGAAGTTTCTATAGCTGCCTCTTTCTATTGTCTCCTTACTGTACAATAGATAGTAAACATAAATATACTGGTATCTATGATGGTAAAATCTCAGTTTTATCATCAGTAGTAGTAACTGGGAGAGGGATCTTGGAGTCCTAGTAGAAAATCATTTAAATATGAGCCAGCAGTGTGCTATAGCTGCCAAAAAAGCCAACACAGTTCTAGGCTGCATAAACAGGGAATTGTGATCTGATTAAAAAATCAGATGGATTGTTTGGTCAGAACCCTATTTGGTCGCAAACAGAAGCGTTCGTGACCCGAGGTTCCACTGTACCACTTTATAATAATGCCTTGGTAAGGCCATACTTGGAATACTGCATATAGTTTTGGTTGCCACGATGTAAAAAGGATGTTGAGACTCTAGGAAAAGAGTGCAGAAAAGAGGACAAAGATGATTAAGGGACTGGAGGTAAAAACATCTAAAGAACGGTTGCTGGAATTGGGCATGTCTAGTTTAATGAAAAGAAGGACTTATAGCAGTGTTCCAATATCTCAGGGGGTGCCACAAAGAAGAGGGAGTCAAGGTATTTTCCTAAGTACCTGAGGGCAGGACAAGAAGTAATGAATGGAAACTAATCAAGGAGAGAAGCAACCTAGAACTAAGGAGAAATTTCCTGACAAAACAGTTACAGTAATCAGTGGAACAACTTGCCTCCAAAAGTTGTAAATGCTCCAACATGAAGTTTTTAAGAAGAGATTGGATAACCATTTGTCTTGTTTAGGGTTTCGTGCCTAAGCAGGGGATTGGACTAGAAGACCTCCAACTCTGCTGTTCAATTCTGTTCTGTTCTGTTCTGTTCTGTTCTGTTCTGTTCTGTTCTATTCATATGTAAAAAAAACAAACTTGACCTATTTTTAAGTCAGTCAGAGCCTTATCTTTATTTATTGTGTTTATATCTCACCTTTCAGCCAGGTTAGTTAGCAAATACAGTTTTCCCTCCCCTGTTCTCCATAACAGCACTCTTATGAGGTAAGTTGAGCCGAGAGAGAATGATTGGCCCAAAGTGAACTCTTGCAATTGACAGTGAAATAGAAATCTATGTTAGCTTGTTCAGCACCTGCATTGCATTAGCTTTCATATATTAGCCCTAGGAACTCTTATTTCTTTATATTTTTCTTTGCTGTAAACTACCTAGAGTCTTATGATTGAGATAGTTTACAAAAATTGTAAATAAATCTCTTTTAAATGCTTTGATTGGGATAGGTTAAAAAACTGTAAATAAATCTCTTTTAAATGCTTTGATTGGGATAGGTTAAAAAATTGTAAATAAATCTCTTTTAAATGCTTTGCATAGCCCTATTTTTTCATGAAATGCCAAGCCAAATGAAAACATATTCAGTCCCTTTACTTGCCAAATCTTCTTTCATTAAGGGATTCTCTGGCATTGGAGCAAAATCTGAGGAAGCAACTGGGGCTGGCCCTCAGATATAGTATGTAATGCCATCTTTGCTGTAATTGATTTTCCCATTTTCCAATTGAAAACTAGGTGTTGCCTTTAATTTACAATATTTGGTGTATCATTACTTTTAGCAACTAGGTAATAGTGCCTGGTAGGTTTTTGGTATTTGTGAAAGGAATGAAAAATTTGGCAACTAAATCAGATTAGAAGTTGAAAGCTCACAAAAACCACTTAATAAAATATACAGAGATGATCAAAATAGTACACAAAGGGTGATGCATTTGTGAAGACTGATGTTAATCTACACATGATGATTCATTATTTGATAATATAATTAATGTACTTAAACATTCCATACTGATTGACACTTAACATTAGTTGGCACCTTTCCATTTTCTGTGTTCTAAACCAGTATGTCTAGATAATGTTTTCTACTTCCCACACAGGTAAAGATATCAGCATAAAAGCAAACAAAATTTTCCACACCACAAGGAGACTGGTATTTTTCTTCCTAGGCTGCAACTTGGCATGAATATGGACAAAATGTTATTATAATATGATCTACATTCCCTTATGCAGCAATGATTTCATTTTATAATTTCTGAAATTCTTAATTATCATTTATGCTATTTAATATATGAGAATATACTGGTAATCAGTTCATCCATGGAAAATCTAAGAAATATAATACTGTATGTTATAGTCTTATTTTTTATTTTTTATTTTATTTGGTTTGTCAATTGCTTACAAGATAATAGGTATAAGTAAAAACATAGTTATGAATGCATGGATGCATATAAGAAAAATAAAAGAAACAATAGGACAGGGACGGTAGGCACGTTGGTGCGCTTATGCACGCCCCCTATGGACCTCTTAGGAAAGGGGTGAGGTCAGTAGTAGAAAATCTAAGGTTAAAGTTTTTGGGGTTTGGGGAAGAAACCACAGAGCCAGGTAGAGTATTTCAGACATCTGTTGCTGAGGTCGTAGTTCCTGCAATCAAGTTTGGTGCGGTTAACCTTGAGTTTGTATCTATTGTTTGCTCTTGTATTGTTATAGTTGAAGCTGAAGTATTGAGAGGTAGGACATTGCAATGTATGATTTTATATACTATACTTAGATCGGACCGAAGGCGGTATAGTTGTAGGTTTTCTAGGTCTAGAATTTCGAGTCTGGTGGCATAAGGTATTTTGCAACGAGTAGAGGAGTGGAGAACTCTTGTGAAATATTTCTGGACTTTCTCAACTGTGCTAATATCAGATACGTAATGTGGGTTCTGGACTGATGAGCTGCATTCGAGTATTGGTCTAGCAAATGTTTTGTATGCTCTAGTTAGTAGTGTAATATTACCAGAGAAAAAGCTACGTAAGATTAGGTTAACAACTCTTAATGCCTTTTTGGCTATGTAGTTACAGTGGGCACTAGCACTTAGATCATTAGAGATGAGTACTCCAAGATCCTTGACAGAGTTTGGATCCTCAACAGGGTTTTGACTATTCAGCCTGTATTTTATTTTCTGATTTTTTTTGCCAATATGAAAGACAGAGCATTTATTTGTTGAGATTTGAAGTTGCCATTTGTTTGACCATTCTGATACATAGTTGAGGTCTTTTTGAAGGGTGGCAGTATTGTCTGTGGTGTTGAATAGCTTTACATTGTCAGCAAAGAGAACGCAGTTGCTCTTGATATGATCACACAGGTCATTTATGTAGAGTATGAAAAAAGTTGGTCCTAGAACACTGCCTTAGGGGACACCACTGTTGACAGGTACAGAATTTGATAGGATGCTTCCAATTTTGACTATTTGTTGTCTGTTTGACAGGAATGCTTCTGTTCAGTTATGCAGTTGTCCAGAGATACCATAAGATTTTATTTTAGGAGTAGTTTGTCATGTACCACTGAATCAAAGGCTTTACAGAAGTCTATGTAGATTGTGTCTATTGCTTTGCCCTGATCGAGTTGTGTTGTCCATATGTTTTTTTCAGTGTAAGAGTTGCAGATTGCAGGATAGTTCTTTTTCTGAAACCAAATTGTTTATTAGAGAGTAGGTTGTTTGTCTCTAAGTGGAGGATAATGGATTGGTTAATAATTGATTCCATGACTTTACAGGTGATGCAGCCTAAAGAGATCGGTCTGTAATTTTCACACTAGGCTGGGGTCTCCCTTTTTGAAGATGGGGATGACCGTGGCTTGTGACCATAGTTTTGGCAAGGAGCTGGTGCTGAAAGATTTTTCAAAGATTATGCTTAGAGGTTCGGCTATGGCAGTGGATAGCTTTTTTAAGAAGTAGGCACATATTCTGTCCGGTCCAATAGATAGTGATGGTTTTAGATTGCATAGTGCTTTTTCAACCATGTCTTCTGTAAAATTGGTATGTATTAGATCATTGTAGTTGTCTGTGGTTCGACTAGGAAATACTGGACATGATACATTGCTGTTTACAAATACTGAGATCGAGGCAGTTGTTAAGTCTAGTATTGTTGGTTACTAGTTGTTCCAGTCCCAGGTCTGTTACAGCATTGTAGAAGGTTGCATATATGGGTTCAGTTTTACATTCGTTTAGCATCCAGTTAATGTGAGGTAGATTGAAGTCACCAAGAAAGATAAAAGTGTGTGGACAGGATGTTGCCCATGTCAGTAGTGAATTTAGCTTGTTTACATGTTCGATATCATAATCAGGGGCTCTGTAACATAGTAAGAATCGAAATGTGATATTTAAGGACAGTTTACAGACGATAGTCTCAGGAAGAGCAAGCTCTTGGGTAACTTGGATGGTTTTTAGATGTAAGGACTTTTTATAGAAGATAACAACACCACCTCCTCTACGGATTTCACGATCTGATCGGTAAACATGATAGTCTCTTACTGTGGTAATGGAGTCAGGGAGAGATGCATTGAGCCATGTTTCACATACAAATATGATGTCGAATTTAGTCATATTTAGTAAGGAGAAATTCAGGTATTTTATTCACAAGGCTTCTTGCATTGAGTAGCTTGCATTTAAGGCCAGTTGTAGTTGGAATTGAAGTAGTTAGGGGCGTGCGTGCCTAGTTTTGAGTGATGGTGGGTTGGATGAGGTAGGGTTGGATGTGGAGTTGTGGGTTGTGTGACTTACTTTTGATACAATCAGCACGGTAGTCAATGTAAAGATCTTTCTCTCCATTGTCTAGATGTCTTTTGAGTTCATTGTGGAGTTCACGGGATCGGATTCTTTGCAGTATGGATAAGTCTGGTCTTGAGCAAAGTTTTTTGTGGTTGGGATTGTTTTTTGCAATGGCGTTTATTGTATGAATGAATATGCGTTTGCTGGACTCATTTTTGCAAACAACTCTACAAAATTTTGGGGCCACCGAGCCCTCATTGTATTTGAACTCAGAGCCATCTCTGGTTATTTCAATGATATCTTCAGGAGAGATGTTGTTGGATTTGAGTTGCTTATGATATTGCGAACTTTGGTGATGTCATCTGATTCGTTGGTGTCTTCAAGACTAAATAAGATGGCAATTGGACCTTTCTGATCACGTTCAATGGTGTCTCTGATGAGTAAGGAGATAACATTTGTGGAATTGTGAAATTGTGGAATTATGAGGGTAAGATGTTTTGTTGAACTGGTTTGCTATGGCTTCTAACTTAGAAATTTGCTATAACAAAATGAGGAAGTATTACTTAATTTAAGTGTGAAAAAAGAGGTATAAAATCCGTTCTGACTTGGCCTGATGGACAGATTGCTTCAAATAGAACTTACTCTCTAGGTCATTCCTTTTCTGCCACAGAGCCTACCTTCTGGAGTAGGCTTCATGTAAAAATCTGTATTTCACAATGCCTCCCAGCATATAGGAAGGATGAAAACTGAGCTGTTTAGAAAATATGTAATGATTATCTATAATTATTAGGAGACATTTATATAAGTATAATTATGGGTAATTTAATATACTAATATACTACCAAGTTCTTTGGGAGTGTGATGGTATATAAATAAGTAAATGTTTCATTCTCTCTGTATAAGGCATTCATTATGAATTGTGGATTTATAGCTGTTTTGAGGAGACAAGCAAATGGGAAATTACATCACAGCAAGATTTTATATGCTTGGGGGAAAGGCAAAAGAAGTTCTAACTTATTAACTTATCCATCATATCTGTTCTAGTAATTCATATACTATGGTATTGTCAATTACAAATGAGAGCTGAAAATAGATACTACCTGTTAAATGTCATAAACCATTAAATTGTTTCTTTATTAAACATGCTTTATTTTTCAGAGTTATTTCTATAATGATGACACTTTTAACTTTAACTATGCACAAGCCAAAGCTGCTACTGGTAATACTAGTGAAGCTGAGGAGGTATGTATATGCTTCTTGAAAAGATCCCAGACAAGTTTAAAAATAGTCGCTGCTTACATTCTGTATCATAGTTTCTATATCTGACCTTTCTGAAACTTCAAGGATTTGTGCATCCTTTTTTAAAGAATGTGGAGGTTGTTGTGAATAATAGGCAATAACCTTTTAAGTATTCAATATATGCTTAACCCTATGTATATATACTCAGAAGGTAACAATACTAGACAGCAGCAAAATGTGTTTTTTTAATACTAGGAACTGTACTGAACCTTGTCTTGGGGTCACACTTCCATAGTATATGAAGTTAGAAAAAAACAAAAAGAGAATGTGGAAGATTGATTAATTGCTAATACAGTATAATTTATAATTAAAAATTTCTCATAATTACAGACAATATAAACAAAAACTTATTTATTGCAATGTAATAGCAGAATCTGATATTTTATTCATGTAACATATTGAGAAATAAAAGTAAATTGTCTGCTGCTGAAATTAAAGGATCTTATGGTTGCTATTTCCCTCTTCAAATTTAATTCTATGCATGAGTTGTACAACTGCAAAAGAATACTCTGTTTTGAAGGATGGATGCATAAATGCATGGATGAAAACATACAGCATAAGATATGCCCCATTTGTCCTTAACCATGCCTCAATAAAAGGGGCAGATTGTTCCAAATAAAATGGCAAAAAAGCTATTTTGAGATATTTGCTTATTTGTTGACTCTATAAATTGCTTAGAGAGGGCTGTAAAGCACTGTGGAGTAGTATATAAGTGTAAGTGCTATTGCTATTTCTAATGAAAAAGTTATGCCCGTTGAAGCTTAGTTTTTCTTTTAAAAGATCAACTTGAATTATCATTTGACAAAGTAAGGATTAAAGGTTAAATAACAATCTATATATTACATTAGAGCAGTGGTTCCCAAACTTTTTCAGTCTACTGCCCCCTTGGTGCTACAAACTCATCCTATGTGCCCTCCACCCAGTGGTAGGATTCAAATTTCTGTGGCCTAATTTGAGGGTGTGGCTTGGTCATGTGATTGGCTGGCATGGCTTGCTGGTCACATGACTGGGTAGGTGTGGTTTGGTGGTCATGTGACTGGGTGGGCATAGCCAGGTGACTTGCAAACAAGTGGTCCTCACTTAATGGCCCATTGTTTAGAAAGTGTTCTAATTTATGACTCGCCTTTCCAGATATACTTGACCTGTTTTTGGAGTTTTGACAGTCATGCACACACATACACACACACTCCTTTCTAACCCTGCTGGAGGAGGTCATTGGACTAGAATCGGCAAAGCATCTCTGATGAGATTCTAGTAGTGAATAAAATGTAGTCAGAGATGCTTTGCCGATTATTGATTTGTTTTATTTGTATCTCTTTATTTTATGTTGCTGAATTGCATTGACATGTGTGTCCCTTCTTGTGCACAATCCAGAAGCTTTTGTGATTCTTTGCAGCAAAAATTACCGACCTCTGGCTTTGCTCTATTATCTAGTAATTTTGGGGAAAGTAGAGCAAAGCCAGAGTGGGAACTGAAGTCCACACAAGTTGCCAAGATTGAGAAACACGGGTTAAATATATCAACCCAACCATTCTGGTTTAGAGTTTAGCATGCTGTTTGATTCTGGCTTAGTCATGGCTAAGATCTTCCTGCTCCTTAATGCAGCTGCCCCTCTGCCCCTTCTCCAGCCCCCTGCCCCAGTTCTTTCTTTGGCATCCAATTTTGCAATGCCAACCTCCCCGGAGCAGCGATGCAGCCGACTTCACCCTCTTTGCTTCAACCCAAGGTCCACTTCCATCAGGCCAAGCAAGGGGAGGTACTCTGCACATGCTCAGAGACTCCCAACTTCGGAGAAGCATTCCGCCCATCTTTATGCTCCACCCAGGAGGAGGAAGGCATGTGGAAGCAGCCCAGACTGGCAGAGGCCGAGGGAACGATCACTTGGAAACAAAGCAAGCAAACAAGCAAGCACAGGGCTCGGTCGGAAGAACCGGGCTGCAGAGGGAGGCTAGGTTCTAGGTCCAGGACAGCCACGTAGAGCTGAACCGAACCGAGCCACGCGCCTTGGAGAGCTGTAGCTGTACCCACCTGCATCCTGCACGCAAGCCCAGCTGGCTGGAGAGGTGGAGGCCGGGTGGGCGCTGTGCGCTCCCTTCTTCTCTGGGGAAGGGGGCCCTAACGCCGGACCACCCACCCCTTCCACTGTGCACCTTGGGAGGGTTTTGCTTTTGGGCCTTCTGGTGCGCCTCCGCCACTTCCACCAGAGAGGGCAGCCTGCAAGCTAAGGTGCCCCCTTTCCACCACCTCCCACCTCTGTCTCACTCCCAGGCTTGGCAAGGCTCACCGCACAGGGGTTCTGCATTTGAGGCGCCGGCTACGGAGTGATGAAACAGTCAATGGGCTGCGTAGCCGGCAGTCAGTGAGCCTGTGGGGCCGGCGCCTCGAACGCCCCCCCTTGCCTCTTAGTGCCCCCCTGCCAGCCCCCTTGCCTCTTAGCGTCACCCTAAGGCATCCCACCGCTCCCAGGGGGTGGTACCACCCACTTTGGGAACCACTGCGTTAGAGTTTTCAGAAAACAATCTAGAATCATTCCCAGACTTAGACATGTTTTGATCCAGGCTTTCTAAACTGCTAATTGTTCCCATTCAAAAGAGCCATAAATATTAGGACTATAAACTTCCTTTTTTACACCTCTGCTTTTGTATTATATCTCTGCTACAGAAATCCTGGGGGTCTTTTGATAAGGCAAATTATTGAATAAATAATTATTGAATGAATTACTTTTTTTACTTAAGAGAAAACTATATTTTCATGTCTTAAACTTTTATAGCTGTTGAATCTTTAGAATGACACACCCTGATTTGATTGAGGGCATGTATTGCAGAACTACATTTAATGTGAACAGAAGCTTAGTTTTCTTTGTTTCCTCTCAGGTGTTCCTCCTGATTCAAAGTGAGAAAATAAAGAATGACTTTGTTTACCTCAGTTGGCTAGCACGCTGCTGTGAGTCACTCTGCTCTGTTATAAAATATGTATTGACCTAGTAATCTCATCCCTTAAATTATTTTAAATGAAATTAAGTATATGTAAATTTAATTACTTTTTAAGCTAGAAAGTTTCTTTTCTTACAAATTCTTTTAAAAACCAATTTCCCAAGGTTTAGAGTTGAAATTTATGCTTTGAAGATAGGCCAGTTCTTTAAGATAATTTATAGAAAATGTTGTCCCCAAAGTGCTTTTTCAAAAGGCAGTTAGGACTTTGTTTTTCTTTGAAGACATTTCGCTTCTCATCCAGGGAGCTTCTTCAATCCACTCCAAAGAGAATAATCAAGTCTCCGATAGCTTCCTGAATGTCATCAGGGTGTGAGATGTCATCCCACTCTGTGGAAATATTCTAAAGAACCGGTGACTAACATATCACTAACACAGTATTCCAACTGTGTGAAGCCTTCACAGTCCAGGAAAAGGCCCAAGTGCCGCACTAGATGTGCCTTTGCAAAGAATCCTTTGGCCATAATTGCCATGGTTGTAGATAATCTATCTCCTTCAGGATCCTCTATAGTTGAAGTTCAATCGTCTTCTCAACACCTTAAAGGGAAGAGTGCGGATAAAAATCATCACGGATTGTTGGGTCCAGCAATAACTTCTTGAGGAGGGGATAGTGTTGTTAGGTTGTATATTTTAATTGGTTTTAGAACTATTTTTATAAATTAACATCAGTACCTATAGTCTCCAGACAGAGTCACTTTATAAAAATCTTTCTATGTGTTATATAAATAGTTATCGGTACCATATTAAGGTTTTCCAATAAGTAAATGGAATATTATTACATTTGCTCTATTCACCTAAAAAAGCTCTATAAGCAGGACCTTAGAGGATACTGAAAACTGCATACGTATGATGTTACAGAACTGCTTTGCATGGAGTTTCTCATATATAATTAAAGTATTTTATCATTAAACATTGGTATCTGTTTACACATCCTTTTAAATATTTAGAAGTAGACAACTGGAACTTCCACTAACCATAATATGTAGACTTATTCTGAAGTAGGTTTAATGCCAACATAGATATTATATATTGTATTCATAGATCAGAAAGAAGAAACTGATAGTGTAAATTAGGAAGGTAACTGACTTTATTTTCACATAAAAACTCACATGTATGATCTGTTCAAATGCTCAGTCTACTGTCGCTCAAACTGAAACTACCCATGATAATCTAGAGCTCATTGTCATATAAAACTTTTGGGTTGGCATATATTTTTTAAAAATCGTTTTTGTAATTTTCCAGTTGACTTAATTGGTGTGGCTATGTTACTTCTCAGCTCACCTGAACAACCAATGTAAAGAACAATACTGCTGAGTAATATGCTTATCCAGATCTAAACACTGTGAAGCAACATGCCTCTACTAGTTCTAACTTTCTGGTGATTGCAGATATTATGAATAAGAAACCAAGATTAGCCTGGGAACTCTACCTAAAGATGGAAACTTCAGGAGAATCCTTTAGTCTTCTGCAACTAATTGCAAATGACTGCTACAAAGTATGTTGTCTTTAATCTATTTTCCTTCACTATCTAAATCAATCCTGTAGAATTATACCTTTTTTTCTTCTCAAGCCATGTATTTTTTTTAATAAATTGACTTCTACACTTTTCTGTTGTTAAATCCCATTTCTTACAATCAGAAGTTATATGATATAGGCCTTATAAAGCAGTTTGTTAGTTTGGAGTTTTTATGATGCAGGAAGCTGTCTCAAGAAATAAACCGTGCTGACTACTTTTCCTATGATCATACTGAGACATCTTAAGAAAATTATTTTTGCCTTTCACTGACTAAATCCCTTGTGCATGCACCCCGCCCGTCTCACCCATTCTTGGATTCCAGGTTGGTGCAGGAGGCCTCCCAAGCCCAAACTGGGTGTGGGGGGTGCGCGCACACACTTGAACCCCCAAAATGCAACATATGCCCTGCCCCCACGCATGCACATGCACTTCCCCACATGCATTCCGCCCCCACACATGTGCAGCAGAGACCTGAAAACCAGCTGGTTGGTGGGAGGTGCGTGCACATGCGCAGTGGAGCTGGGCTGGGGTGATGGTAGCATGCCCACAGAGGGCTCTGTGTGCCACCTGTGGCACATGTGCCATAGGTTCGCCATCACGGTGCTAGTGGCCTGCCCTGTAAGTGTTGGTGGGAATAATCTTAGTGGTTTCCTGATTGAGCTGTTTTTATTAATAGCTTGTTTGGCAGTTCCTTGATTAGGATATTGTTTGCTTCTTGATTGTTGGTCAGATCTAAATCTTGATGTTAATCTCTCATCTGGATGCTTCTTGGTGAAGAGGCGTTTTGGTTCTTTTCTTTCCTTTTCGCTTTTTGATTGTCTTTTTGGAATGGTATGTAGAAGTTGTTTGTGTCTGTATGCTTGTTGATGCCAGATTTGTCTGGAATTATCTAGTGTTTTTTAGACTTGGCTCGGTCTCGGATGCTCACAGTTTCCAAGTTGAAACTATGCTTAAGTCTGTCCATGTGTTATGAAATTAAGGAGTTTTCATCATGTCATCTGACTGCTAGTTTCTCATGAACCTGCTCTGCTAGTCTTCTACTGGTCTCCTAGTCTGATAATAAAATGTCTGCAAGAAAGCAACCAAGCTCAGAGAACACCAAGAGCTCCATAATGGTTCAACATTGAGCTACAAATATTGTATCAATAAATAATGTATGACATTGGAAAATATTTATTTCTTTAATTTGAAAACAAAGCCATAAATTTTATCTGGCTTTCAAATCATGAACAAGAAAAATTCAGTGTCATCATTCATTCCTCCTTTTATGTTCCTATGTATTCAAAATTTGTTTTATGCAGTGTTTCTGCCTTAAGCACGTACCTTTATCTTCTGCACAGATGGGCCAGTTTTATTATTCTGCTAAAGCTTTTGATGTCCTTGAAAGATTGGATCCTAACCCTGAATATTGGGAAGGCAAAAGAGGAGCCTGTGTTGGTATCTTCCAGATGATTGTTGCTGGCAGAGAGCCTAAGTATATACACTGAATTTCTTTCTACTACTTTGGAATACTACTCTGGCTGTTTAATATTATAGTATTGTTGGTTTGTTACTGAATACAAATGCCAATTAGAAATGCCAATTAAGGAACACAAGGCCTTTAAGCTTTGATTCCGGTAAATTGTGTATTATGAATGGAAGCCTTACCTTCATTAAAATACAGGTAGTCCTCAAGTTAAGACAAAGTTCGCTTATGACAATTCAAAGTTACAACACCTCCCAAAGTGCTTACAACCCAGTTTCAAAGTCATGTGTGTTGTAACACCATGGTAATTATTCAGGGGGAATAAAAATAAAAATGAGTAAGTTTCAAAAATTAAAATTAGCTGGTCAACAGAAAAATCCCTGATTAAAAAAGGCAATTGCATAAAAGGCATCAGAGGAGTTAAAGAACATTCTTATGTCACATAATTTCTGGGAATAGCCATAAAGAATGTCCTTTCTCATGTACAGGTTCTTCTTAATGTTTCTAACTAGAAACATCTGTATATAATCAGCAAGATTGACATGCATTTTTAAAAAATGGTATTACTGAAGCTAAACCAAACCTAAGCTGCCCTCACTATTAATCTGCCTGATGTCCCAAAAGTGTTTTTTCAAGAGGCAATTGGTCTTTCTGATTTTTCTTTGAAGATGTTTCGCTTCTCATCCAAGAAAGTGAAACGTCTTCAAAGAAAAACCAGGAAGTCCAGTTGTCTCTTGAAAAAGCACCTTTGGGACAACTGACCTGGATGACTGAGAATCTCCATAGACATTTAGACTGCCTGAGGTTAGATTTTTTTTGAACCTTAACTATATCTCTGATCACCAGAAGCAAATAATTCCCAGGAAAACAAACATTTCCAGACATATTTTGTGACACAATATCCCATGAATTGTATTGAAGACCAATTGTACAATTGTCAGACAAGATTATAGTGGACAAATTACCTGAACCCATTAAAAGATGTTTATAACTACTAATAAGCATACTTGTATATGCTGCCTTGGGCTCCTACAAAAGGTGGGATATTAAATAAATGCGTGTCTACAAATAAAAAGGATCCTGGACCATCCTTAAATGGTGAACCTGGATCATCCCCAAACTTTATCAATGAAAGTTTTCGTCCAGACAATTTTATCTCGCAGTGACTGAAATCATACACCCATGTTGTTTCCTTTGCAACATTAGAAAGGGAGTGCTGTTGCCTTCTTCGTGATTTTTTTTTTACTTCCCAGTTGACCAATATGGAACCAATATGCAAATCGATATAATTTTTAATCATTACTTCCTCCATTTTCCTACTTCATGCTCCAGGCTAAGTGTAGAGTTGTTCTCATAATGCTAACCAAACAGTAATTAAATTAAATTCTACTTTATTGTCACAGTATTAATCATAATAGATATATCTGCTCTTTTGGCAGAACTTCATCCTACATTGATGCTTTTGATATAAAATTTCTTTCTCTCTGTACTGTATTCTAAAATTGAAAATTTTCAGAATGCAGAGCAGAGGAAGAAATTTTACATTCAAGCGCCAATATAGGGTGAAGATAGGAGAAATCAAATCAGCATTATGGATAGCCACTTACTCCTATTGAATACATAATAATTTATGAGGCAGAATTTTGGGCTTCTAGTTCCTATAAAATGTGAAATATCATTTTTTCTGATTCCTATATGAAACTTTATTTTATCCATTACGGTGAAATCAGAGAAATTTAGTTTCTAGCAATTGGACTGAAGAAAATACTCCAAAACACTTCAGGTGTAACATACTTAGACGTTCATAATATTGTCTGATCTATTCTTTCTCTTAAAAAATCTTTATTTCTTTGCTTTTAGAGATACTCTAAGAGAGGTAATGCATCTCCTGAGAAGTACAGGCAACCCCCAGGTAGAGTACATTATACGTATAATAAAGAAGTGGGCTAAGGAGAATAGAGTTCCTGTTTAAACAGTGATCAAGCGAATGGAAGTCTGCCATCTATATTGTGCCCGGCTGGAATACTGTGTCATTTTGTAGCAATACAAAGATTATAAAAATACAAATCTATTTATTTTTACATATATTTAAATGTCTTTCATGAAAACTATATGTCATGTATTGTGAGGAGAATCTTATTTTGATTCTATTATACTTCTCCCAAATTTTATTTTATGTTACTATTACTGTTGTAATATTAGTTGTATGTATTAGCTTTAATCTTCACAATCTTTTCACTGTGTGACAATCAGTACTTTTTGAGACAGTTCAAAAACTTGCAAAATACTTATTTTCCTGGGTCTTGTTTGGAAGCAGAATATCAAAAGAACTCTAGAATTAGATTTCAGATTTTAGTTATAAAAGTTCCTCACAAAGAATCCGAAGCTAAACATTTAAAATGGAACACAATAAGACAATGATAACCCGATTTTGATTATGATCTAATGGACATATGGAAAAGTATTGTAAATAAATAATGTTCCACTTTCATTTGCATAAAATATTACTGTTCATATCTTCATCTGTTTCTATATTTTTCTTTCTGATTAAATTAGGGCTGTAAACTTGTCATTCTGTGATGAAATGCATTGGGAAAGTTAAAAGTTGGTTTCAGAATATATTTAATGCCTAAGGAAAAATGTCTTAAGATAAAAAAGAACATTGGAAATCCATGATAGAATATATGCTTATCTACTTGTACATGTTCTATGTAAATAATATAAGTTGATGCTGTATGTTCATTCTGGAGCAAAATTCCAAAATAAATTCATTTATAAAATCACTTGTGAATTCCTTTTTATTCTTTGGGGATGCCATATGGCTAGGTTTGGGGTTTGGTTAGTTTTTAAAATTCCTTTTCTTTTTGTATTAAACCACTCAAGGCCATTTTAGAATTAAGCAGCATATATCTTGCAAAAATAAATCCATTACATGTATTACTTTATATAATTGGAATGATTTTACATAGTTAAAGCAAGAAGCTTTGTGCCTTTCAACTTTGTCTCTGAAATTAGATATTAAAAGGGAAAAAAAAGAGCTAACTCTAGCTTCTGCTTTGTCTTAGCATCTGAAATGTTTTACACCAGCTCATATTTAAGTTTTGCACTGTACTAAACAAGAACATTAACACTTTTTAGGATGGAAAGTTTCTTCGAATTGCATCTTAAAAACAAATAATGAAATACGGTGTTTGGTAATTAGTTCATGCCATGTTAAAGGAAACTGGTATTAAGATGGGAAAAAAATCATGCACCAAGGATAGAACGCTCACAACCTTTTCAGGTACTAAATGGTTTTTATGACCATCTTCACTTGCTGTAAACTAGAAAAAAAAATATGAACAGGAATGACTAGGCACTTGGTAGCTGCCATATTAGCGCCGCGTTCCTGAGGAAGTTAATTCTTGTCCGGAGACACACAACAGCAAAGAAAAGTGCTCGTTCGGAACTCCGCGAAGACTTTAAAAGTCTTACGCTAGTTCGGCGTACGCATTTCCAAGGCAACTGTGGGCGGAGCCGTGTCGTCTTCAACGTGCGATCGTGGTGACGTACTAAAAAACACCCCACCTAATCTAGAACAACAATGACGTTAGCAGCGCGTCTGTGGAGGATTCCACCTTTGCGCATGCGTGCCCTAGTAGCCTGCTTCTATTTACGTGGGGGGGCTCCAAGATGGCAGCGATGTTATCGGCAAGGAGAGGCTAGTGGGGAAGAGGGGAGGTACTCTGACCTGGTAAAGGGGGAGGGAACGGGCGGAGGAGGAGCTGGGGTTGTGGGTGGCGAGGTTGGGTCACCGAACAGGTGGGAAGGGGGGTGGGGGGGTTGGATGATGGCGGAGCCGCGTCGGGTGCCGTTCATTAGTCTGTCACCCGTGAGGCGACGAGAAGGTGAGTCTCCGGTGCTAGAGCGAGAGACTGGAGGGGCCCGCGAGGCAGAGCAGCCATTAGCGCGTGAGGGCCTGCAACTACCAGATCAGCAGGAGCACCACCATCACCACCTCCCCTATGATAACAGTCGGGTAGAGCCGCCATCGCAACCCTTTGAATCTTGTCCTCGGCCAGAGTCTCATCCTGTGTCATTACCGCGGGAGATCAGTCGGCCTGAGCTGACACCAAAGCCACCTCAGCCGCCACCCCACCGAGAGTCCCCAAGGCCAGAACCGCCGCCGCCGCCGCCCCCTCATCAGCAGCTAAATCAAGAGAACAACCGACAGGAATCATCGCCGCCACCACTGGAGCAGACGGTTCGCTTTGAGTTGATCTTGAAAGATCCCACGGAGGAGAGCTGCGTGGAGTTCAGCTATCCCGAGTTGCTCTGGAGTGGCAAGGCCCGGGTACTAGACCTGCAAACACTCGCTCTTCTCTATCTACCCTTTCTGCCTCCTGTTCTGTCAGTTTTGTCCTATATGGTTCTGTTAGCATAGTCCTTAGCTTGAGTGCTGGAGGAGGAGGAGGAAGAGGGAGAGGGGTATAAGGAGAAAGTAAGGGGGTTTAGCATTAGAAAAAAACCCTGTCAGGATGGATATAAGACCAAATTGCTACTCTGATTCAGTCAAAAGATGGTGAACCTATAAGAGCTGGATTTTCTACTGGTCTTTGAAGACCATTCAATACAAAAAGAGCCCAAAGCAAGTAAATATACCTGTGTCAGAAATATTTTGTTATAGTAAATTAGTTTTTTGGTTATGAATAAGCATAAACCTATGGTTTTCATTTGCAGTGTTCTTTCAATAAATCATTACAAGTACTGTTATGCCTGAGCATAGTTTAAACGTTGTAGAGATTTGAAGATTTATAAAGCAGTGGTGTAAAGGCAAGCAAAAATAGGTATTTGTTTTTTACAAATTCAGGATATTGGGAAAACTAGTTTGTTGATATTGTTGTAAATAGTTTGAGTAAATTTGTGAGAATGGTTTGTTTGTAAGTAGCCATTAGGATGAAAACCTGAGGGTTCAGGTTAAAAAAATCAATCTATATTGAGATTGATTATAATTATGTAAGTTATTAAAATCTTTTAGATATTTTTTTTTCTTTAGATCTCAGTATCTTGAATCTGTTGTATAACTTTTGAATGTGATATTAAAAGATATTTGCAGGAGATTGGGGAACATTAAAGACCAGTAAAATGTTTCTTTGAAATAAGAGAGAGAAGCTGATGTTAGTAATAAAAGAAGCACTATGTATTAATGAAACTGTTAGATATCCCTTCAGTCTTCATAAAATATTTTTATTATGTTCCCTTTTAATATATGTAAAATAGAGGTGGATATCTAAATTACTTTAATCTCAGATTATCACAGTAGTAAGCCTGTACTACTGCTTTGTTTAGTCCATATTGAGAAATTTTAGCACCCTAAATATTGGTGATATTTAGATTGCTAAATTTAGGGATATACATCTAAATATTGTTGGATTGCATTTCACATTGGCTCTTACTTTTGGGCAATTTAGGGCATTGGGAGATGGATTTAACCACTCTAGGCTGTGTTGCCCATTTTCAACTGAAATTGATGGTTACAGTAGTACTCTAATTATTTCAGTGACTATTTGCATTATTTTGCCTACTTATAGTAATTCCTACTTTTGATCACATTTTGGTGAATTTAGCCCCAATAATGCATTTAGAAATGTTGGTGCAGCCTAATTCATAGCAGCCGAGGCCTTATGCCAGAGGTGGGCAACTATGGCCCCTTTATGACTTGTGGACTTCAACTCCCAAAATTCCTGAGCTAGCATGGCTTGCTCAGGAATTCTGGGAGTTGAAGTCCATAATTCATAAAAGGTCCATAGTTGCCCACCCCTGCCTTATGCAGTGTTTTTATTATTGTTTTGAGAAATGGGCCATCTCTATTTGTAACACACACTCCCTTTTATGTTGCTAAGAATCTAAAGTTAATTGAAATATTCTAAATTATTTTTTCACTTACAGGAAAGTTTACTATATAAACAAAGTGATATATTATTTTACTATTTGTGGATTAAAAATAGAGCATTGTAAAAAGATGTCATTGAATTACTGACAATTATTTTTAAGTGTTGACAAGATCTGATCTGTAGCAATTTCTACTATACTACATAGTAATACTCAATACTATTATCAAAATTAACACTATACTTAATATTTATCATTAGGAAATAACTTTTTCTGTGATTTTTTTAAGCAATCTGTTTCTCTTTGTATGTTGTTGGTTGGTATTAAGAATTCTACCAATTGTCCCTCATCCTCCTTCTGCTGTTATAATATGAAATGTAGTACAGATAGTCCTTAACTTATGGCCACAATTGAGCCAAAATTTATGTTGCTAAGGGAGATGTTTGTTAAGTGAGTTGTGCCCCATTTTACGACCTTTCTTTCCAGAGTTAAATGTATTATTGCAGTTGTTAATTTAGTAACACAGTTGTTAAAAGACTCTGGTTTCTTCATCGACTTGGCTTGTCAGAAGGTTCCAAAAGAAATCACAACCCCGGGACACTGCTACTGTCACAAATATGAGTCAGTTGCCAAGGATGTTAATTTTGTTCACATGACCATGAAGTTACAGCAACATTCATAAGTGTGAAAAATGGTCGTAAGTCCCTTTTTTAAAATGTCGTTATAACTTTGAACAGTCACCAAATGAACTATTGTAAGTCAAGGATTACCCATATCCTCTTTTGCTATATATTTTTTCTTTTTGTTGCTATAATTTATCCTTTTCTACATGGAATTGTTCTTAGATTGCTGCAGGCCAACATTAAGTTCATAGTAATTTGGATGTTTTGCTTGAAGGTATATTTCATTATTGTGAGAGTTGTATTAAAAGGGATCAAAATAAAAGCAAGTAATGATAATATCTGAATGCAAATATTCCCATAATTATTCAAATCACATTTTGCAGAATCGTTAGTCTCATATATCTAATATTATCCCAGGTTTAAGAAAATAGGTCTTCATCCTGGGATAATAGGTAAAATAGTCAACAAATGAAAAACCTAGGTGAATACAAAAAATGGTACATAAGTAATAGTGTATCCCTAAGTATAATTTTATCCAAGTGCATTTTGTTCTTATGCTGTTCTATCTATTTCGGAAGGTGAGACTACTGAACTTTTGTAAAGCAATAGACATCCAAATACCATACTATTATTAATACTACTATTACTAGTTCAGAAGAGTTCAGTTAGTTTCATGCTTGTGGAATTGATTCATGTGGAAGTTCCAAATCTGTATTTTTTTTCTTTTCTCACATAACAAAAAATGACAGTGTGATTATCATGAAGTAAATATTTAAACATATTTTTTATATCTATATATTGTTTTATATTAGGAAGGGTAAGATAGTTGTTTTATTTTAAGGTTTAAAAAGTCGTATTTGGTTTAAATAAGATAATTTATAGTATCTTTAATTGCATGGCTGGGCAACCTGAATCCTCAAAGCTGCTTGTGGTCCAGAAATCTTTTGCTGCTCTTAGAGTCCATACATTTTCACAGAGATAAAAGAAGAACATGAAATAATATGATTAAAGAAAAGAATACGATAAGACAGTAGAAAAACCATAGGTTAGTGATTTATGTGAGTCAAATGTGACTGGATTCATATAGTAAACCATGGTTTAAGGAGCAGTAAATTAATTTAAAGCCAATATTAAATTATTGGTAGTTTAGTACAATTTGTAAATAGCCATAGAGCCATAGGGCTTATTTTTTCTACTTTGATGAGAAAGCAATTAAAAGAGATGGTAAGCAACATCTAGTCATAACATAGTCACTGATCCGCAAGATTGATTCTAATTCAATAGATCATTGTTAAACACTCTTTAACAGTTTAATGATTGACTACAGCCACTGAATTTACATTTATGTGCTTGGACAATGAGAAGGGCACATCCTTTCTTTGAAGTACGGTTATATTCTGTTTAAAACAATTCAGCTGGGGATTAATCTGGCTTGTTTCAACAAATAAGGTTTTAATATATTAAACTATGATAAAGATAACTATCATAGTTTAGCATACTTAGCATAGATAATTACATTTGGAGTACTGTGTCCAGTTCTGGAGACCTCACTTAAAAAAGGTATTGATAAGATTGAACAAGTCCAGAGATGGGCAATAAAAATGGTGCAAGATCTGAGGGGGGGGGGGGGAAAGAGAGATTGGAGGAACTGAATATGTACAGCCTGGAGGACAGAAGGGAAAGGAGGGACATGAGGGGGGACGTGGTTGAAACCTTTAAATATATTAAGGTTGTAAATAAGGTTCTAGAAGGCAGTATTTTCAATATTAAAAAAGCAATATGGGGGCATAGCCTTAAACAGGCAGAAGGCAAGTTCACAAGTAATATTAAAAGTATTAATTCACAGAAAAGAGTAGTGAAAGGTTGGTGCCAACTTTCTGTGGAGGTAGTTGGGTCAATTAACAGTAACTGAGTTTAAACATTCTTGGGATAAACATGTCCATCGTCCAACAAAAATTTTTAAAAAATAAAGTAATTAAAAAATCTCAAAGGGCAGACTTGGACCAATAGATCTTTTTTTGCAATCAGGTTTCTATGTTTCTAAATAGAAGTGAGAAATAGTTGCTTTGTATCCATATCTAGTGGAAAAACTCAGTACCTTTCTAACAGTATAACAGCCCAAGGCCCAAACTAGCATTTTGTTTCTGGTAATGGCAAACCAGATCTTTCTATGATGAAAGGCAGAAAATACAAATGTATGTGTCTCCTGCCTTGATCTAACATGTAGTATTTGGAGGTATAAAAGTTCCAATGTAGAAATAAGAGTAATGGTTATCCTTGATGGCCTAATCTTTCAATGGTACTTTGATATAACCTCTGAAGTGCCTGATTAAGTTTTAGATTAAAAATCACTAAATTATGTTGGGTCTTGATTCATTTAACATGATAATGAAGATGTATTATAACCCATAGCCATGTTTTGTTGCTATCCAGTTGCTTCTTTTTGTGAGGTGTGAATAAAAAAATAAGATCAAGATAAAATACAACATTGAGCTACAAAATTTCTAGTGGCGGTTCTGTTTCTTTAAAAAGAAGCAGCAGCTAGGGAAGGATTAACTTTTCTATTCTGCATGATTACTACTACATCTGTAAAATTGGAAACAATGAACAGAACTGTGGTTCTGTTTCCTTTTAAATTAAGGCGATTGAAACAGACATTTGGAGGCATGAGAAGAGAGGATACAATTTTGACAGCAATTTGTGGTGATCTACTGGATCCCACATGAATAATTTCATGTTTTGGGGCAGTGGATGAGTCAGTCATGTACTAATCTAAAGAAGTAAAAACTTACATCTCTTATGATGCCAGTTTAGCTTCATTCAGCTGCATCTCTAGTTGTCCTTGCTATACCGCATTAGTTGATCTCTTTGCAATAACATCCAGTGATAAATAGAAGAGATTAGCCAAAGAATCTCTATTTTGCCCATAATATTTTGTGAATATAATTTAATTTACTGAATTTAGCAACATTTAGAAGTAATCTTTCTTTAATGTAGTTTCATGCAATTAGATCAGAAGTAATTGTGATGCTTTTTATTTAAAAATACTTTATATAACCTCCAATAGTTTTGTAGCCATTTTTTTTAATGGCTCTTGCCTGCATAAATGCAATATTTGAAATGTCATGTAAGAAGTAAGAATGCCAATTTAAGTATTTCAGAATCATTTAGTGTGCTGCAGGAGGTACAACAGGAAGGCAATACATTGTAGTGTGATCACAATTTTCCACTGCCATCAGCCAAGTATTGAATTTATTCTGTCATAATGAGAAATAACCTATATCTCAATTTACAACAGTTCATTTAGCGACTTAGTGTTCAAAGTTGCAACATCACTAAAAGTGACATGACCATTTTTTATTACCATTGCAGTATTCCCATGATCACATGATCAAAATTCAGATGCTTGGCAACTGACTCATATTTATGACAGCTGCAGTGGCTGGGGTCATGTGATCACTTTTCATGACCTTCTGACAAGCAAAATCAAAGAGGAAGCCAGATTCACTTAAAGTTGTGTTATTAACTTAGGGATTCAACTATAGCAAGAAAGATCTAAAATGAGGCAAAACTCACTTAACTAATATCTCAGTTAGCAACACAGATTTGGGTTCATTTGTGGTCATAAGTCTAGAGCTACCTGTATTAGTTTAAAACAATTCTAATTTCTATAATTGAGATTAATATTAATCTCTATTAATCTGGAATACATCATTTAAATGATTGGATTATATTCTGAAGTAATGTTTGAGTACAGAAGAAAAACTTAATAATTTTTAGATCTCAAATTTTATTTTCTGTGACTGTTTCTTAAACTTTTTATTTTCAGGATTCCTTCTCACTTTTAAAAATTATTCAAAATCCCAAAGGAGCTTTTGTTCATATTGGTTATTTTTATCAATACTTTCTGTATTAAAAATTAAAATTGACACAATCATAGAATATTTATTTATTGGATATGTAAAAGTAACAATATTAAACCTATTAGATATTATCACAAATAAAATCAAGGAAAACCCTATATTTTTTTTACAAAAAATGAAAAGAATATTGTTTTTAATTTTGTAAATATCTTTCATATCTGCCAAATAATTTTGGTTTTCCATGGATCACATTTTAAATACTGCTCTATAAAAACACTTATTGACTTGATCTCAGAGTTTGTAAAGTTGTAGTTTAGTCTTCACTTATGTTATTTAGTAATAACATATTTAATATATCTGGGGTTTTTAAATATTCTATGTTAAGTTGGTAAAAACATTACATTTTGCTAAGTCCTTTTACAGATAGTTTAAAGCAGTGGTGAACCTTTTTTAACTGAATCATAAGCTTTGAATGGTACGAAATGGGACTATGATTAAGAACAAATGCATTTATTAAATTCAGTTAATATTATTCCCTATATGTTGAATAATTTTCCCAGTCTCTTGCATTAAAATTGCTGTATGGCTTTAACAGTTGGGGTTTAGGGTACCATATTTAGTATTAGGGTCACAGATTGTATATCATTGATTAATATGTCTTACTGATTCCAAAAGGGTTTATTTTAAATTGAGCTGCTTAGTTTAGTACTGATGCATTAGATATTAAACTATACTTGTTAAGGATTCTGTTTGCTTTTCCATTTAAAGTTGGAGACATAGATAATCCCTCATGTATTGCATATTTAAATATTAAAAGTGATTGGTTTCTTGTTTTCTCTCATCAGAAAAAATCACTCATTGAAGACCCATTTGATAATGAAGAGCATGAAAGGCATGAAGTGGAAATGCTGGCTAAGAAATTTGAAACAAAATATGTGAGCAAATCTGTAGAAATTGTTGCTATTACAGGCATGAATCCTGATAATTTTTAGTTGCTTCTAACATTGCTTTAAGTAAATTTAGCTTTTTAAAGAATTTTGTTTTAATCATGATAGCACATCCACTGTCTTTGCTGTCTAATCATTCTGGTTTTATTCATTTCCCCCAGAAGGCTCTCCTGAAAGAAAAATAATCTGTTATGTCTAAACCCAATTGCTGATTTTTTCTTAAAATAGCCTAAGCTAATTTCAGTTTCTGCATTCAGTCTTAATAGAACATAGATCTGGGCCCTCTGGTCAAATGTAGGTCTTAATTTATTTCTCATGGTGAGATCCTTGCTATCTTATTTGCCAGAGAAACCAAGCAGAAAAGATTGGTGAACTTTTGATTTTCCTGTTGTCCTATAATGCTTATCTGCTTTATTTCTGTGTGGGGGGGATTCCCCCCACCCTTCTAAGGTATCAATCTTATTTCGTAGGGTGGAAAGATCCACAAACATCGGAAGGACCGAGCTCAAGATCTGATAGATATGGGTTCTGGTTATGATGTAAATGATCCTTTCATCGATAATTCAGAAGCTGTGAGTAAATCTTATGCGCATATTGTATCTACCTCTGAGAGCTAAAATTAAAATGTACAGTGGTATCTCAGTAGTCATTAATTGGTTCTGGGAGGCGCAATGAGTACCAAAAATGATGCATACCAAACACACTTTTCCTATAAGGAATAATGTAGTGAGTCACCAGACAGCTGACACTGACAAGTCTAGCTTGTGCATTGAGTACCAAACAAGCGATGGGTACTGGGACAAAATGTTAGGTTCCAAATGCATTGAGTCCCAACTTCTATGAGTTTCAAAGCAATTGAGTACCAAGGTACCACTTTATATCTGATATTCTGAGGTGATTTCATTCGGACATTAGGCTTTCTTCTTTCAGCTTAGAGATAAGACTACATCAAGTATTTTTGGATGATTATTTAAACCTGTGTAATTTAAGACATAGCAGTATTTACATTTGGACCCAGCATTAGGTATAGGATGGTGGAATAGTCTGGGAGTAGAATCAGGAAATGCTGCATTTACTTTTAATTTCAGTGCATGATTGATTGACTAACAACAATTGTGTTTTAATATTTTAGTTGATGTGATTTTTGTACTTCATTTAGTATTAAACAGTGAAAAAAGGAGTATATTTTATAATTTATAATTCAGATAACTCTTAAATTTGTTGGGGAAGCAGCATTAAAAGATGTTAAACTATAAAACAACTTATTTGATTAGCCAAAGACAGATATCTTATACAACAATCAGCAAGATTATGTTCTCTGTAGCATAGTACACTTCATACTACTAGATGTTTATCTTTATAATACCAGTGAGATACCCCCACACCCACATACACAAACATACTTTTGCTACATCTCAAAACTTACCTAAAAAGGACAGAAATAAGGACAAAATTGCATATATTTAAATTATGTTACAAAGCTAATGTGATTATATTTGTCCACGTCCTAGTATTAATCAGTAAATGGTAGGCATTAGGAATAAATTTCAATATCATTTAAGAATTATTCTTGAAATTTCATTTTTGAAACAATATTTTCAGATACCAATTTTAGCATTAGTTAATGTCATCACTGAAAGCCTCCTAAATGCTGTTTAGATTAATTTATAAAATATAAAAAACATAAAAAGATATACCATATATTTTTCTCCGTTGTAAATCTTTACACACTTTGATGATATTGTAATTTTTAAATCTTTTATATTCTTTGTAGTATGATGAATTAGTTCCTGCATCCCTGACTACTATATATGGAGGCTTCTACATTAATACTGGAATTCTGCAATTCCGCCAAGCATCTGATTCTGAAGAGGAGGATTTTACAGGAAGCAGAAAGCATAAACCATCTAAGGTGAGTAGACTCAGGGGTGTACTTTAGGTTTTCAAATTCAACCCTCTGCTCAGTGCAGGAATCCAAATGATAGCTTTTCAGTTGTAGGTGCTATTAATTTTTTTAATATCAAAATTTTGCTTTTATTTATTCAGTAAATTTATTTGCCAAGAGTCAATGTGACTCTTAGCTACTTACAATCCTATAAATTAAATAATTTATTAACCAGAATTAAAATACTCAATTACAGGTAGTCCTTGACTTACAACCACAATTGAGTCCAAAATTTATGTTAAGAGAAACATTTGTTAAGTGAATTTTGCCCCTTTTCCGACCTTTCTTGCCTCAGTTGGTTAGTGAACCACTGCATTTGATAAGTTGATAACCCGGTTGCTAAGTGAATCTGGTTTCTCCATTGATTTTGCTTGTCAGAAGGTCACAAAAGGTGATCACATGATCTTGGGATACAGCAATGGTCATAAGTATGAACTAGTGGCCAACAAGTGGCATCTGAATTTTGACCACATGACCATTGGGGATGCTGGAAAGGTTGTAACAGAAAAAAACGGTCATAAGTAATTTTTAGTGCTGTGTAATTTTGAATGGTTACTAAATGAACTGATATAAATCGAGGACTACCTGTATTTAAGCTGTTGTATGCTTCCTCTCCCCCTTTTCCTCCCTAACTTTTTAGTTAGGTAAACTAAAAGATGGTGACGACCGCAACATGAAGAAACGAAAGCGAAAAGAGGAAGAGTCAGAGAAGGAGAAAAAGCCTCGGAAAATTAAAGTTACTAAGCAGTTGGGGTAAGTTTGCTAGTACTTTCTTCTCACATAATAGATTTTGTTAAACTGATAAAAATGCTATTTGAATAGTATTTGCAATAGTATTTTCGTTGTGGGTTATTTAATTCAGTAGAATAAATGTAGATCAAGTGAGGGGCAGTATATTTTTCTTGACATGTTTTTTTAAAATACTGTCACTAAAATGATCAGAGTTTCTTACATTGCTGTCCCAAAACATATACAAGTATGATACTACTATTTGAATCAGTTTATTATGAGAAAGAAATGTTCACAAATTATTTTGCAGTTTTCCAGACTCATGAGTTCTTGGATTACAGCTTGGATTGTAGTTGACAGTTAGTTAGAACCAATGTTCTGAAATAATTTAACATGAAATTATATTGTATTTCTTTCACTATTTTACATTGTTTACTATTCATTGATTTAGTTTAATCTTTGTAATTTGCAATATTTCAGTATTAACTAATACAAAGTTTTTACATTTTTAATTGAGATCCAAGTTCAACATTAATTCCATTCATTTACTTTATTGTTTTATTTGCAGGGTAATAGCATTAAATTCACACAAATCTGAAAAGAAGAAGAAAAAATTATACAAGGATTCTTTTTCATTGGCTGCTATGATCCGAAAATTTCAGAAAGAGAAAGAAGCCTTTAAAAAAGAGGAGGTTAACCTGAATCCCACAGTAGCAACTACCTGTTCTACACCCAGTAAACTTCCTATTGCTCCTGCCATTGGTGGTAATGATGTGTCTGACTTGAATCTCAGCATTACAGATCCAGTCCTTTCTATTTTTGGCAGCACTAATGAACGTGAGCTCCTGCAGGAAGCTGAAAGTGCCCTGGAGATGCTGGGAGACATTGATTTTGATAGGTTGCTTGATGGTACCTCTGATGGAAGCCCAGTATCTGAGCCTTTAGGAGAAAATGGAAGTGTCACTCAGCCCCCCCATACTGCTGAGGTCCTGACTTTGAAACAAGTGCCTGCTCTCCCACAAGGTCTGCCAGGACATCTAGAAAAGCGTATTGAAGACCTTAGAATTGTAAGTCATTTCTTTTTACTAGGCTTTTTAAAGAACTATTAGAATTCATGTATTTAAGGCAATCTTTGCAATCACAATACTTCGGAAACTTCAGGATATATTGAGTACATACAAACTGAAATGAATATTCAAATATTGGACTTCTGGTAGGTCTGATAATTCTTATTTGCTTTGGGAGACAGCACATTACAGTCCCTAATAGCATTCATTGCTGATCTGTATGAAATCAGTATACATGCTATCAAAGATACAGGTTAACCTAATCCATCTGTTTTTGTAAGGCCAAAATTTCAATAAACATACATTTTCATTTCATAGAAGCTTGTTATGTGATCTGTATTTTCCTGTTTAATTAAAATTTATTTGAAGGATATAACATTCCATTTTGTTAGGTGTTAATCTCATTCTGTTGTGATTGATTTTTAAATACACGTTAACCTATCCTGAACCATAAATATTCATGTCAACATAGCCTGAGATTTTAAAAGATATACTGTATGATATTTATATTTCATCTGTAAAATGAGATTTAGGTTTTAGAAAACATCTTGTTGAATGTGAATGTGCAGTAAGTTCTTCTGTAACTTCAAATCTCAACAAATAAAAGCTCCGTCTTACATAGTGGCAAAAAAAAATCAGAAAATAAAATACAGGCTGAATAGTCAAGACCTTGTTGGTGATCCAAGCTCTGTAAAGGAACTTGGAATACTCATCTCTAACGAACTAAGTGCTAGAGCCCACTGTAACTACATAGCCAAAAAGGCATTAAGAGTTGTTAACCTAATCCTACGTAGCTTTTTCTCTGGTAACATCACACTACTAACTAGAGCATACAAAACATTTGCTAGACCAATACTCGAATACAGCTCATCAGTCTGGAACCCATATTACATATCTGATATTAACACAGTTGAGAAAGTCCAGAAATATTTCACAAGAAGAGTTCTCCACTCCTCTGCTTGTTGCAGAATACCTTATGCCACCAGACTTGAAATTCTCGACCTAGAAAACCTAGAACTACACTGCCTTCGGTCCGATCTAAGTATAGTATATAAAATCATACATTGCAATGTCCTGCCTCTCAATACTTCAGCTTCAACCATAACAATACAAGAGCAAACAATAGATACAAACTCAAGGTTAATCGCACCAAACTTGATTGCAGGAACTACGACCTCAGCAACAGAGTGGTCAATGTCTGGAATACTCTACCTGACTCTGTGGTTTCTTCCCCAAACCCCAAAAACTTTAACCTTAGACTGTCTACTATTGACCTCACCCCTTTCCTAAGAGGTCTGTAGGGGACGTGCATAAGCGCACCAACGTGCCTACCGTCCCTGTCCTATTGTTTCTTTTATTTGTCTTATATGTACCCATTTCATGTATTCATAATTATGTATATATTTATACCTATTATCTTGTCAGCGATTGACAAATCAAACTAAATAAAATAAAAAAATAAATATGTTTAGTCTCCTAATTGTTCTTTGTGGAAACCTTAATGCTTATGCATTAGCTAATCTAATTTTAATTGCATATTCAAACACAATTGGAAAGTTTAAGTTTTCAAAATAAAATAGAACTAGAAAGATACCAAAATTTTGTATAATATGCCAATATATCTAAATGATCTAATTGTTATTATTACAATTATTAATGCTTAAATATATTAATTGTCAACTAGAAAAGGTGTATACAAAATGTTTTAATACAAAATGCTCATGATTTAATTTGAGTAACTGCCGGAACCCTGACAATAATGTTATCTCCCAATATTATAAATAGTGAGGAAAGACGAAGTATCTATAGTATTCTAGAATAAATACTTGGTAGAAACTGAAATATTTTTTCTAAGATTGTGAAAATAGAGTGCAACTTGTTAGCAGTTAAATTATTAAAATTCTGGGCTGAAGTGCATTTTTATTGTTGTCTCTAGGCTGCCAAGCTCTTTGATGAAGAAGGCAGAAAGAAATTCTTTACACAGGACATGAATAATATCTTGCTCGAGTAAGTGCCCATTTTGTTTTTCAGAAAATGCTTAGTTTAGTAGAATAAATGTGTTGAGCAATGAGTAGATTTCTAAAGTAGTTCATAAAAATAATTAGATTATTTATTTGTTGAAGAGTATACTTGTCGCATTTAGGTTTTGTATTTTTTTATTCATAATTATATAACATTCCTACACTTGTTTAGCCATGTTTATGATGTTGACATTAATCATATAATCCTTTAAAAAGAGCAGCAAATTAAGCAGTGTCCCTTAAAACAATCAGATTTTTTACATAGAGAAAATGTAAACTTGCTTGAGAATAAGCAATAAGGTACAAGTCTTGTCCATGTGTTCCTTATTAGCTGTGAATTTGTTTTCTGTTCAACAGTATTGAGATGCAGTTACAGGAATTGAATCCTACTTTCCGAAGTGGAGTGTATTCTCATATTGAAGCTTTTGTACCATGCAATAAGGACACATTGATAAAACGTTTGAAGAAATTGCATTTCAATGTCCAGGTAAAGCTACCCAACTGAGATACATTTTAATCAAGACACATCATAGATGGGTCAGAATTGATTCCCTATAGAATGAAGCATTACCTGCATGTCAAGGGTGTTTGTGTCTGTATGTATGTGTGTGTGTGTGGTTATAAAAGATTTGTATTCCATTGTTTTTTAAATAGACAACTTACTTTCCTAGTGTGCTGTAAACTAGATCACATAATTGCTTCGATGATTATTATTCTATTTTGAACTACTTTTATTTTTGTATTAATCTGTGAGTTAAATTTCTAGTTCTGGGCTCTCTCACGCAATTGAATCCCCATTACTTAGAAATTGCAGCCCTTTGGACAGACTTTCCAGAAGTACCTAACTTTTTTCAACTATTGCTGATTTTTAACTATTAATTTAAAAAAAATATTTGAGAACTGTTGTGGTACTATTTTAAAAAGGTTGACTTTAAAAAAAGATGACACAATTGTGAATAAATTAGATTTGTGACTTGTTTTTATGCTAGATCTAAGTGTATGTTTTAATTGAGGGACACTTTTTTTAAAGTGCTATCAAGAAAATAAGTCTTTTAAAATTTCATTTAATGTATCTGATGGTCTGGAAAATTGGTCCATGAATTTCAAAATCGCCTTATTTATCTATTTCAAGGGATGGGGGGGGGGATAATTTCCTTTTTACCTTAAAAAGATCCAGAAGAGGTAGGAACATTGCTGGGTGAATTTGGATGGATGGATGGATGGATGGATATAGATGGTAGACAGACAGACAGACAGACAGAAAAAAAGCTATTTTTGTTTCACATTCCAAGATCACTTCCATTATAGTCTGGCCATTGAATTATTTCCCACTTCTCTGGGTTTGCTTGCCTAACCCCCCCCCCTTTATTAGAGCCTTTCTCTCTCACTATAACAAATTGGGAGTCGAGTGGCACCACTTCTTAATTAGTAGGTGTCTGTTTTATGAATGGATAAAGCATTTGCCAGGAGGCAATGTCTTTGCATTTCATACTCCAAATCCCAAGAAAGTTGGAGGAAACCAAGAGATTCTAAAAAGCAAAATATATCAGATGAATTCTAGGTACCACTCTGCATTTTTAAATGTTCAGATTTCTGTGTATGTTCTTGGGTTCTGTTTTTTGCAATACAGTTAATCCCAGCTTGGCTATAGAAGACAAATAATGAAAAACAACTCTTTTATATTGAATGCAGGACCATACTGGCTATATTAAGTTGTTTCTTATTTGCGTCATTGTCATGGTCTGAATCTTTGATCTTGAATTCTAGATTTAGTACCCTGACTAGGCATGTTTATCATTTAATTGACTTGCTGCCATACAATTGCATTACTGTAGTTTTTATTCTATTTTATAGATACAGATTGTAAACCTTTCTAAGTGATTAAATTATACATATTTCAAATAAATCAATAAATAAATGTTTTGAAAATGGCAATGTAGGCACAGCCCCTTACATCACTTAAGTTTTATTTAATTTGTTTTGCTTATCTCTTGAGGGGGTTTTTGTACTGCTAACTTTATTTTCCTTTTTCTTCTTAACAACTAATAATGTTTTTATTGTTGAATTTTTTTAAAAATAATCAATTGTTTTAGAGCCATGCTAATTAAAAAAAATCAGTTGTTTTAGAGGCAAGCTAATTCAGAAAATGAAAAACATTGAAACGTTCTTCAGGGAGAAAAGGCTAAGCTTCAGAGATTCAGTGTGTGAATGTATTACATTGTTTGTATCACTGTTTTAATGGTAGTATCTTCTCAGGATGATCGCTTGAAGGAACCATTGCAAAAATTGAAGTTGGCTATCAGCTGTGTCATGCCTGAACAACTATTCAAATACCAGGAAGATTGCCAGGCACATAGTCAAGCCAAGAATGCCAAGTATGTAGGCAAACCAAATAGCACTCATTGGCCAATGTGGGGGAGTTGAAAGGGAAACTGTCCTATTTTATTAGAAAATATGAAGTTCTAGATGTGAGGAAATTATGTTTGTGATTGCTATTTTCTGCGTATATTATATATAAATTTTGCTTTTTTGCAGTACATTAATTCTGGAATTATAGTGCAACATTTATGAGATGGATACATCTCTTGCCGTAAAAAAGATACTGAATATCTGTACATGTATTCATTTGGCCTTTTTTTGGAAGCTGTTCCTATTCCTTATAATAGGTTCTATTTACCTAGATATCTATATTTTAGATTTATTGTTTTGGTTTTTTCTCCCAATATGCCCTGCCTGTCCAGTTAGTACTGGAGTTGTAATTGAAAATCTTCAGCACAAGTGGGGTTAAAAGTTGTTTAATTTCTGTTAGAAAAGCTGTAGCCTGAAGTTGCAACAGTGATGTTGCAACTTAAGTGGGGTCTTGCATGTAGGAAAGGAGATGCTATTAGTGATCACTATTTTATTTAGTCCTGGAGGTAATCGTTGGATCCATTTGAAATTCTTCAAGGACCATTCCATTAAAATTGCCCTCCATTTTAAAATTTTCAAGTTTTACTTATGTTCTTTTCACTGTAGGAGTAAACACTTATTAATCTGTGGTTGCAACATATCAGAAGGAATCTGATAGCATAATTTGATAGCATATCAGAAGGAATCTGATAGCATTTCTGACTAAGAAATTAAGAAATTTGATTTAACAGCTATTTTGTTACTTGGAAAAGGTGGTACATCCTGGTTTATATTGACATATTAGCTGATAAATAGTAATTGTTTTTCTTTTTTATGAAACTTAATAGGTAGATGAACTTCTGGCAAATCTTGTACCACTTATTAAATAGTTTTGTAAATGTGATATACCACCAAATTGTTTTTCAACAGCTGAATTCTTCAGTTACTTTCTATGCAGTCATACAACCAATTCTTCTTGTCTCATGAAGGTCTTTCATATTGGTAGTTTTTGACAATTCTTGCAATGAACTAAATGGAATTTGGCTCATTTCAGTATCCAAAAAATGTGTAGACATTCAGGGACTTTTAAGGTGATTGACTGCAAATACCAATTTTGGTCCAAAACATCAACTGCTACAAGAAAAAGAGTGACAGAACCTGAGGATGGAGTAAAAGAGGGATCAGTCCCTATGTGGCCACAAGTGAACTAAATCCAACCACCCTTGAATACCATTGACCCTTTTCTAACACTAAACAGGTGTTAACCCTTTGAATAGATTCCTGTTCATAGACACGAGAAACAATACATCAGTTTAATTGGATCTTCACATAGAGACCTGATCGTTCCTGCCAGCCAATTGCAAATAAGCAACCAGCAGATATCTCAGTCTCTCTGGCAATGTAATGATGAGGAAACAAGCTTACCTCTGTTTCTACTCTTTACAATACTGTGCTTACTCTTTTGCTCCAGAATGCAAGCAGAAGATGAGCGAGACAAGAATGGTTCAGAAGAGGAGGATGACGAGAAACCAGGAAAGAGGATTGCAGGTCCAAGAAAAAAATTCCACTGGGATGAGGCAGTGAGGTGTGATACTATGTTGTTTGATACTCCACTAGTGGTATTCTAAGTTACTATAGCACAGTGTAATAAAACTTATTTCAGATCTGTCAGGAAAAAAAATATTTCTTGGACCTTTTTTCCTGAGATGGAGCACAAATATAAATCTATAATAGCTAACACATGCAGTTCTGGAGTGGAAATGAACCGCATGGAGAAGTAACAGAAATAAGACTTTTGATCTTGATTAATGTGAAGTTCATCTTTCTTACTAATTTACTTGTTCCTAAGTGCTATCTAATATTCACTCTGTAATTTCCCATACCTTTCACTGTGTAAGACTTTGCACACTTGGCAATATTGGCATTCTTGTCCCAGAATCTTTACTTTATTTGTAAAGGTCTGTCCTCAGTATTTGATTTGTCTTGGCTCCTATGTGAGTGATTATCAGAAGAGAAGCTAAAAGGAGTGTCAAAGAAATGGAAATAATTTTGCTTGTAAGCTAGAAATCTGAAATGTGCAGTGGTATTTACTTTACATTTTCCACCAGCTTCATGGGTATGAGAAGGAAGAAACTCATTTTCATCTTCCCTCTTCAACTCTGTATTGGAATGGAATAAAATGGAATACTTGATTTGACCAAGTGTGATTAGACACATAAGGAATTTTTCTCCAGTGCAGATTTGCTTATCTTCATTTCTTAAACCCAATTCTATGTTTAAATAACTCTTACAGTTTCAAGTAACAAATTCTCAGTTGTGGGAAATTAGTATTTACTGGTTGCAGTGTTCTTGGGTAAGAAACATCCAAGAAATGGAAATGCCTATTTTAAGTTGTAGCAAAGATAAGCCAGAGTACAAGAAACTGAAAGACCAGTTGTATTATATCATGCAGAATACTATGGTTAACTAAAAGTTATTTTTGAATAATCCTATTTTTAGAGAAAATGTGAAAGGTAAACGAATAACTTTGACAAGTGATGCTTGATGTATTGAAGACAGCCAAGTTTATTTCAACAGGACTTTGCTGTGTAACCTTGTCAAGATAAAGCTGGATTGTTATGAGCTAGAGCCAAATAAAAGTCAATCTGCAGAAGATTACCTCAAGACATTTATGGAAACAGAGGTGAAGCCTCTTTGGCCAAAAGGTTGGATGCAAGTTAGGTATGATATGTATTTAAGACAAATATTCTTATTCAGTTTTTATGATATATGACGAATTAAATTTTGTCAGAATTCAAGCATATACTATTTTTAGATACTGGTTATAACACATTTTCTGAAATAGTGTATATGAAATCATTAATTAGTCCTAGAGTTTCCAAATTAGTGTTTGTAGGCCTTAGAGTAATATCCTGATGCCTGTGGTGCTCCTATTCTCTTTTCTTTTTAATCTGGTAATGTTACATTGCTGGGAAAGTGCAAAGATGATCCATCCATCAACAAATGGAACTTGCTAATTGCATGCCATGGTGCTTAAACCTACAAAATAAATGTAAGGCGTTGTTTTCTGGAAAATCTAAAGTGTAGATGGCCACTAAATAAATAATGATTTTTTTTTATATTGCAAGTGGGGTGGGAGAAGTCCAGGGAATATCTTGTTGATTAGTTTGATATCATTTAATTGTAGTAAAACATAACCCTGTTTATGGTTGGCCTACATATTTTTAAGACATGTTTTTAAGACATGATTCAACACTGAGTTGAATCTGATTTACCCATCAAATGCAAATAAATCTGGATTTATACAGCTATTCACAATGTAGGATGTGTAAGAAAGTTGTATTTTTTAAACATGAGCAGAAACTTTTTGGTGCCTGAAAGCTACACAACACTTGGACAAGATCAAATGTCCCAGTGAATGTGGTGGGACTCCAGGTAGTCTTCAAGGGCAATGCCTTGTAAAGCTCATTGCGTTAATTCTGTCTGGAGATAATTAAGATAAAGATGACTGTTGTCAGAGTTTCATACTCCAAAAATTTACAAGGCATTCAGGGTTATGTCTTCATCTATGGATCCAAGTATAACCATGAATTGAAGAGAAACTCCATAATTGTATCCCTGGTCCTCCCCAGCTATGACTGCTAGACAGTCACTCTGCTCTAATGCTGTCAACGTCAACATTGGGAATGAGATGAACCCCTGTAATACAGTGCCTCCAACCAGCCATAGGTGGTCCAAGACACTATTGTGATCAGTGTCAAAACCAGCTAAGGTCTAACAGAATACAGTTACACTCTTGCTGTCCAATACACAAGAGCAACCTATTGCTGTTTATGTCCCATACCTGGAATTAAGTTCTATCTGAAAATGACTCAACTAATTAATTTCATCCAGGATTCTTTGCCCAGGATTCCCATAATCTTCTCCATGATGTTCCATAAAAATGGGAGGTTGGAGATTAGGCTGAAGCCATCTAATATGGTGAAGTTGGAGATATTGTTTTTCACCATAAGCATTCCAGCACAATCATTTCATAGGATCTCTGATCAGGGACAGATTGCTAGAGTGCATTCTTTTACTAGCTTAGCAATCTCTATATTCTCTGTCTCCTAATGAATCTTATGGAAGCTACTATATTGCTAGAAATTAAGAATTAAGATTATTGGTGTTTGCCATTTTAAACTTTAATAATAGTTTAAACTTATCCATTTAATTGTTTAATTCATAGCAGCTTATTTTTGGTATAAATAAGAAATGTGGTGTAGACAAGAAGTTTATTTTAGCTGATTTGCAGTATGGTGAAATATGTACAGTTGCTTTGAAAAACAAAATGATGTTTCTACCTAATTTAACCAGCCAGAGTAATGGAGAATTTATGGTAGTCTCAGACTCGAATAAATTTTTTATTTTAAAAATCTTTATTGTGGTAATCAGTGCAAGGACAACTATTATTTCAGTGTGTAACATAATGTTGCATTAAAAATAGACCTAAAGAACTAAATTTAGAATTTTGGGTGGAAAACTACTATTAAAATAACAACAAAGTTAGAAACTTCTGTCTTTAGTCATACTATTCTGTTTTTAGTATATACTACTGCCCAAATGTAGCAAGGTCTAAAGTATTTATGTCTGAATGGCTTTTAATGGACTAACAGAGCTGCTCATTTGGAAGATTAAAAACCAAAAAGCTTCCTTCTCCAGAAACAATGTGGCCTGATAAGGTGAAGATAGTTCATTCATTGCCCACAAGAGGAACAGGCTTTTTTTTTTTTTTTTTAAGAAAATAGGCAAAAGAGTACCTGTTCTTTTATACCTCTTCTAGGAATGGTAGAAAAAAGCTGAATAGTTTGATTCAAATGTTGCTGAAATGGATAATATAATATGTGAGCGTGCTTGATAAGCCCTGTCTTTAATATCACTTACTCTCTATTGGCTTTTTGTAGGAAGGAAACCTATGTGCATAGCAGTATTAAGTATTGATTTCCTTGTTAGCCAGAATCTTACATGGGAACTAAAATAATACTTCTTCTGCAGACATTTGAATTGATCCTAAATGCCTGCAAGGAGCCAATGTCACTAGAGCAACATTAAGATTATCATTTATTTCAGTAATGCCTGAACAAGGCTTCAGTTTTTAAAAAAATGAATTCTAAAGATTATAGCACTGGGTAGAAAGTGGTTGTTAAAAGGTAGAGAGCAATACTGATGCAGGAACAACTGGGAACTTGCAAAATCTGTTAAAAAACTTAAGTCACTTGAAGCAACTTTAATTTTACTCAACTATTTTAATGTGCATTATTATTTAGAATCACAAGAATCACAGGAATAATTAACTACCCTTTTATTTCCCTTCAGTGCATGGGAAGTGTCAGTCTATGCAAGAAGAGCAGATTGCTGTTATTTATGTTCATGAAGTCTATGATAAGGACTGGCATGTTAGAATACAAAAAATATTAAGTGCAAGGTACCCTAAATAATTATTTTGATTAGTTCTTTTATTTATAACAAGACAGTCTAATGCCAGCATATTAGCAATATGAATATGTGAACACATTTAAAGTGGTTTAAATTGAAAATGTCATTTTGGCGTAATATTATAAATTATGATCAATTGAAACATCATAGCTTCTATTTGCTTTGTTGTCTTGACTACTTCAGGAAAGTCAACCCAAATACATACAATTCAGTCTATTAATTACTAATCTTTCTTACTGCCTTGTTTCAATTGTTTGTAGCTTGATTGGGACAAATGTGGTTCTAGTTTATACACATGTAATCTTAACAACCCTTTTGAGGATTTAGAAATTACAAATACTGAATTTAAAAAGTTGATTAATCAGTTGTATAATCGCTGGCCAAAAGTTTTATTCAAAAGTGATTAGGTTACAATAACACAATCTTTAATCAACTATTAATATATATTTAGTGTGGACTTATATATTTGGCTCTTTATGAATACTGAAACCTGTTTTTAGCCTTAAAGAGATTAGACTGAAAAGATAAATACAAGTCACAAAACTTTAGTCAAGGTAAGAAAATATAAAAAGCTTGGAGATAGGTGGATAAGAATGAGCAGCTTACATATGAGAGTGTTCTAAGGTTTGAGATCTTTCTTTTTAGTGAGTTTACAAAAGTATACAACTAGCTATTATTAGGATAATAGAAACATAGTTGAACATGGCTATTTGGATCAGTGGGTGATTGCTCCAGGTGTGTTTGTACTATACAATCCCCCCTCTGCCCATAGATCCTGCTTAGACAAGGATCCAAATAAAGTATTCCTGATAAATGATTTTATAACTTCTATCTGAATATGTCCAGCAGCTTAGAGCTACTATCTCTTCTTAATCCTTAACAGACATCTTACAATTTCTACCTTCTCTCACAATCACTTTTTAAAACTTTTAATAGCAGTTTATCTTTTGATAACTCAACTCTATTAAATATTCTGGAATATAGACTAGGTCTTGGTATCAAGACTTGTTCAGTCTTCTCAAAACATAAATTGGAGGCAGGGTTGGTGCATTTCTTTACACAACTTCTGGTTTGTTGGAACTCTTCTCAAAGAATGGCATTCAGAACCGAAACAATACTTGCGTTTCACCTATACAAAGTAAAATAAAACTACTGTTTTCTATAATTTGTAAATTAAAATATTCTTGAAATATCTTAAAATTATATTCCCCCCTCATTTTTTGCATTTATATCATATTATTAATTTGCATTCATTTTGTAATCAAACAGTCTTTGAAGATCTTTTTGAATGGGAAAAAACCCTCTGAAATTTCATCCAATTTAAGCTACTTTTTGTAGCTTTTCAAGATCCTAGTTTTGAAACATCAATTAATTTTTACAAATATTTCCTTCATTTAGAAAGTGTAGGATCTTCCTGGGCATACTTTGTGTATGTGTGTTGTGCGTTCCTTTGAGTTGGTGTTGACTTGGCAATTGCCTGAACAAGTCCCTTCATTTTTCTTGGCAAATTATCGTTGCCTCCATCCTATGGTTGAAAGAGAGAGTGATTGACCCAAGGTGACTCAGTTGCCTTTATGCCCAAGGCAGGAATATAACATGTTATTCCAGTTTCTAGCATGATACCTTAACCACTACACCAAACTGGTTTTCACTGTTACACTTATTGGTCTGATTTTGGGGTCCTTTAATTCCTTTTGATGATAGGTAGAACATTTGCTTTTCTGCAGTCCTCTGGCACCTCAGCAGGGTGTTTTCCAGGATTTCTAAAAAATAGTACATATTTGGTTGAGTCCTCAAACAAGCTTTGTCAGTAAGCTAGAATGGGGATCATCATGTCCTGGAAATGTCAGCTTATTTGAAATAAAGAGGTATTTCCCTACCCCACACCCCAACATGAAGCACATGATTTCATGTGGGGAGAACTGAGATGAAAATACAGTGCCTTTGGTTTATTATCTGTTGCTATTTTGCCACCTTCACTGATTGATTGATTATATGTTGTCAAGTATTTTCAACTCCTAGCAATAGCATAGATTTTCTAGCCTTTATTCCTTCAAGTCTCCCAGTGGTACATTTATCACCACTATAACTAAGTCCATTAATCATGCTACTCTTCTTCTCTTTCCTTCATGTTTCCCAGCGAGATGGATCTTCCTATTAGGTGTCCAATGTACAGGTAGTCTTTGCTTAATGGCAGTCACTTAGCAGCCATTCAAAGTTAATGATGGACTTCCTCAGCTACTTAAAAACCCATTTTCAAAAGTCTTGATTGCCGCAATCTTTCCCATAGTCACATGACCTCATTTTGGGCTACTGTCAATCAGTTTGCATTTGCAGTTGCTTGCAGTGTCCCATGGACATGTGACAATTATTTTTGGCATTTTTGCTAGTTTGTGGTTCCCAATTTCCAGCAAATAACTCCAATGGGGAAAATGGACTTGTTTAACAACTGCAGACCACTTAATGATCACCATTAACCACCTGATTTTATGGTCTTTTTGTGCTGCCCTGCTTCCCCTACACACATGCACATATAGCAAGAGTTCTATACACCGCCGCCCCCAAAAGGTTGTGCAGGTCCAGATTCTAAGCTCAGCACAAGAATCACAGGGTAACCCAGTCCAACAGACACACATGAAGTCTGCAATTCAAACAGGTTAGGATACATGGCACAAGCACACAAGGCATGGAACTGGGCACATTGCTTCAGCAACGCTCAAGACCTCAGGGTGGGATTTAGGCAATGCTGATGCAGCCCTTCATGAGAGAAAATTGCCTCTTCACAAGTAATCTAGCTGACTGGCGTTGTGCTTGTCTCCTCTCTTCTCTACCTGTCCTTAGATCAGGAGGAAGTGTGGACTCCACCTCCTTCTCATTGCTATTGGGCAGCAGCTGCTCCTGGTCCTTGTCTGGAACTTCCTGGCCAACTTGCTGCAGCTGTGGCTCACCTAGCTCAACCTCAGCCTGCCATTTGTCTGATTGACCCAGCTGAGGCTGCTCTGGTAGGCTAGCACTCTCCGAGCCCTGATTCTGACCAACATTTGGCTCTGTGCTTTCCTCTGCTGACTCACTCACCCCTGTCCTCTGAACTCACGTTCAGAGAGGTGACCAGTGGGGATCCATGACACTGTATGACTTATGACTATAATTCCAGGCTCAGTTACTCTCATATATTGAGGACTACCTATAGGCTAACCTGGTCAGTTGTGCTTTGTGTGAGAACAATGGGTTGATTTGTTCAGCAATCCATTAGTTTATTTTCTTGACTGTCCACAATATTCTCAAGAGTCTTCTCCAATACCAAAGTTCAAAGGCATCATTACTGTTCATATCCTGCTTCTTTAAAGTCCAACGTTCACTTCCATAAAACATCATAGGGAATACCATGACTTGCATGATTTTGATCTTTGTAGGTATAGATACATTGTGGAATTTGAATATATTTTTCAAGGCCTTCATGGCTGGCTGCTCTTCTGCTGGTAGTAGCCTGCAGAAGAAGCCTGACTGCTTCTTCTTTTACCATTGATTGATCCTAGTAGGCAAAAGCTGTCCTTCATCTTGTTATCTTTAATTCTATGGTGACTCTTGAATAGATACGGGATATTGGTGGGATATAGGCTTTTCAAACAGTATGTTGATTGTACTTGGGGCAGGGGAAGGTGCTTTATTTCTATTACTCAAAAATCCACAAAAACTGTATTTTTCTATTATACGAGAGGTTCTATATGTAGAGAGGATTGGAAGAAGAAGGGGAAGAGAATTTTTAAAAATAAATTTTATTTTATTCAGAAAATTAAGGTAAAATACAAACTTCAAAAACAGGAAAAAAATTACAAAAACAAATCAAAGATAGAAAAAACATTAAAAAAGAAAAAAGTGTATTAAAAAAGACAAAAACACATAGATATATTATCCCCCCTAATTGAATACCGACAAATATATATAATATAGCCAATTTGACCTGTCATCTATAAAGAGACAAAGTAGTTAACAGATGAACCAACAGCAAAGTTAAACTTTAACACTTTCTGTTAGCAATCTGTTGTATTTAACTCGTAGAAAGCCTACAGTCACTACAGTCATTATCTCTAATTTCTCCAGAATCAAATACCTTCATCTGATTCTTAATAATAAAACTTGTTCTTAAGATTTTGGTTGAAAACTTCCCAACAATTGTGTCTTATTCCCCTAAATTATAAACCTCTGTTGTCAATCCATTCCAAGTCCAAATCATTTTCCAATTAGATTTAGTAAGTCAATTACCCAATCACCATCAATCTGGAAATTGCAGCCCTCAAGATTCTTCTTCCCAGGAAGGTCTACAGTAATTCAAGATTCATCTAGGGGCTTTCCTAGGTGTTCCCATTCAGATCTAGGGAGGACTGCCAAAGAACTGATTTTAGCAAAAAAAATAATCAGCTGTTCATTGGCAGAAGAAACAAATCCCTCAGGCACTCATCATGCCATCTTGGGGGAAGCGGGAAGAGCTTATTTTATGCAAATGATATTAAAACTTTTGAGAGAGAAAAAATGACTTCGTTCCCAGTGGATATCTGGTTTGTGAGTTTGCAGCCAATTTTTGCCCATTGCTATCAGGATATTTAAAAAACAAACTTCTGGTTGTGCTTCTGTTGTGTCGGAGTGGAATCCGCAATTGTGTGTGGTTTCACTCTGTGCTTGCTTGTTGGAAGGTCCTGATTGGGACCAGAACCACCCTGGAGGGGTGGTGAAGAAAGCGGAGACTGCCTGGAGGGTCGAGGGGAGCTGCATCTCCCCTCCCTGACAAGGTAAACCCCATCCGAAGACAAGTTGTAGCAGTGGTTAAAAACAGCCACCGGGAAGCAGTCTGTGAAACTAAGACTGTTCTGGAGCAGTGAAGCTGTGAGCAGTTTGAACCTGGTAAAATACATGGAAATTAAGGTACCCTGGAATTAAGAAACAAAGAAGTTTTTATGAAAGATTGTAGAAGTGACGACCAGAGAAAGAGTGAACAAAATTGGAAACTTCTGAAATTGGCTTTGGACTTTGAAAAGAATTAATTGGGAGGTGGAAAATTCAGAGGAAAATATTGGATTATAAAAGACTTGGAAATTTAACTGGATAATTATTTGTATTTTGGCACTATATAGGCATAATTAAATGCTGCAATTGAATGTGTTAAAAAGAAATAATAGCTAATAATTGGAATAATTAGTGAAATTAATATCAGCTTTAAAAAAAGGAAAAAGTGAAAAGAAAGGGTGGAACGTGGAAACAGAACTGAGAACGCCACCTAATGATAAAGGGAAAATTTCAATGACTCTTTGAAAAGTACTTGGTCTTTTTAAAAGTGGAATTTGAAAGGAAATAAAAGGAATTCCATTATAATAAAATAAAAACCCTGAAAAATTAAATACTAGAATATTACAAGGAAAAAAAGATATGTGAAGAAATTGCCCTGGGATTGTTTCGTGACTTTGGGAAAAAGTTGGAAAAGAAATTAACAGAAGGAACCTAGAAACAAAGATTTATGGACACTGACTGTTGAAATTAAATATAAAAGATGCTAATTATAATAAACTACTGGACAATTGGATTGGACATAAATACTAAAGAAAATGGGGGAGAAGAAGTGTACAAAATGGGAGGATTAGTGTGGAAATAAAAATGGAATGACAAAATATGAAGGAAAAGATGGAAATGTGCAGTATTATACTACAAAAATTAGAAATGGTGACGCAGATTGAAGAAGAACAAAGAGAACCAGAGGGGGAGGAGTTAAATAAAGAGGAAACCAGCCTTAAAGAACAAGTGGAACAACAAACATTAAAACAGGAAAAAATATTAAAGCTAAAAACTTGAGGTTTGATGTGATAATTAAAGGGGGAATAGTTTGGAAAATTAAAGGAAAAGGAAACAGCAGAAGAGGGAATTACAGAGGAAAAATCAAGAGAGGGAGAGGGATAAAATAAATAACTGGAATAAGAAATGGAGAGAAATGATAAAGGAAAAAAGGAGAATTAAGAGAAATGATCAG